TATAGGGCAGACAAATGTTTCAGTCAAAAAATGAAAGCAGAATATCCAAATATTGAAATCAAAAAGTGTTCACCAAGTTAGAAAAGAATCAAAGCAGTAGTTTTCAAGTTATAGGTCACAAAAGAAACAACCTCGGAAGAACGGATGGACTGATGGACAGAATTCCCTGGTATGCTATAGACCCTCTTTTAGGTCGGGGGTATAGTAAATTCTTCACTGAGGAAATGCCTTCAATAAAGAATACATCCATGTGTTAATGTGTATCTATTCTGACGATTTTGTAAAAGTGGAGCTGACAAGATGCTCTGGACTCCACACACAGCAATGTATATACCGTATTCGACGTAATAAGCGCCTGCGGCGAAATTTGCTAATTATATTGGGTAGTGAACAATCTCAATTAGCACCCCTTCCAATTGATCAATGTAAGACTTATTTATTAGTGTATAATACGCAATTAAATCCTGGAAAAATATATCTGTCGTATATAAACATTTCAGGCTGTCAGCATATAGCATGAAATTTACGATCTTTCAACTTTAATAAGAGCCCCCTATTTCTAATTTTGAGAGTGCCCTTGGCGCTTATTACGTCGAATACGGTACTTGTAAGACATGTGTGTGTATATATATATATATATGCATGCACAAAGAGGAAGGCAAGCATAAACAGATCACTGCGGAATAGCACAGATAAAAGCTCAAGTCTTGCATGTATATTAGCTCATAAATACGGCAAGCAGGAACCGCATTGCATGCTTTCATTTTGGTTTGTTCATTAAAAGGTACATGAAGGTGTCTCTTAATGGCAGATGAAAGAAGAGCTTGGAAACAATTGATTTTATGGTGTAATGGCAATTAGAAATAATGATTAATAGATTTTTAGATGTTTTTTGTCAAATCTAAGGAAACGAATGATAGATAACTCAGTCTCATTTTATTTGAAAAAATAAATTCTTTTACATGTAAGTTGTGATAATTATCTGAGTTTATGAATACATGTCAAACGCTCAAAGCTGTTTTAATCAATACACACAAACAGTGGTAGAAACTAACAGTTTTAGTCCACTAGTCCTTATAATGATAACATAAAGCAAAACCCTTAAAAATGGCAAATCTCTACTAGTCCTGGCAAAGTAGACACAAGTTATGGATAACAACTTCTTTAATACTGTTATCCATAAGTTGTGTCTACTTTGTCATCTGTCAACTTCTAAGTAATGTCTATCAAACAATTCTACTAGTCCTTATGATATCTTTACTAGTGGGCAGTTTGGCAAGGACTACAGGACTAAAGTACTCATGGAAATGAAAAAAAACTGTTTTTTCGACCTCAGATCTTAAATTATTGCAGTTAATATACAAAATATGTAAATATTCAAACAACTAAATTAGTACTAATTGGGCCGTGGCACAAATACAGCGTATCAAATGTTTTTATGCCTTTTTACACGTAAAAGTGTGTAAAAATGTGAATAAAACAGACTATTGTGAAACAGGGCATAACCAGGTGTAAGTAGATCAAGGTGACCTATGACACCTTGACGACAGGTGAGAACAGGGGCATAATGCCTATAGTCTGTTTCTGCTATGTCAATTTGGACTTAGTTCTATTTTTGAATGTTGAAAGTGCCGACAAATTACCTCCTGTAAAGTACATTTTGTATTGTTCACTGAGATCAAACTAGCAAATCCAGACTAGTACTTTTCGAGTTGTTTTGTTATTTCATATTTACAGCTACGTAACACTTTGTGTCGATTTTTAAATTGAGAAAAACAGGGTTTTTTTCATTTCCGTGAGTACTTTAGTGCCAATTTCTATCACTGACAAATATTCATTGCTAGCTCAGGGAGAGTTCCCATTGTTTTAAGAATTAAATCAACACATTATGAATGATTTTTAGGCCAGATAGAAAATTTGTTTGCTACATAGAACAAACTGTCCCTATTAAAATCACACCCAAAGCTAGGATACTAAAGTAGCGAATCTCACCAGCCGAAGGTAGGCCGCATAAAACATGTCTTGTCTTAAACCTTAATGCTATGGACACTATCCTTGACCTACAAGTTGTTGACAGCAGTGTTTGTTTGTTGTTTAACTAAATAACATTTCAGCTATATGACTGTTGTCTGTAAATAACCGAGCCTGAACCAGACAATCCAGTGATTGGCATGAGCATTGATCTATGTAATTGGGATACGATGATATGCATCAACAAATACAAATGGGCACCAGTTCCCATTAGTCGTCTCTTATGACAAGCAACAACAGGGTTGCTGAAGATCAATTCTGACAGGTGACAACAGTGAATAGTGATTGTGCCCTGTTTGTGAAACTACGGACACAATGATTGAATATAGTGTACCCTGCTAAACAAGAGGGTATTGATCAACATGAAATTGTCTGGATTTACGAGTTTCTAATCATGAATATATTTAGATGTTCAGAATAAAATTTAGTGTGTCTGTGTGTTTGTGTGTGTGCATTTGTGTATGTGTGAGTGAGTGTGCATTTGTGAGTGAGTGTGTGTGTGTATGCAATTGTGTGTGCGTGTTTGTGTGTGTGCATTTGTGTGTGCGTGCATTCGTGTGCGCGTGTGTATGTGCATTCATGTGTGCCTGTGTGTGTATGTGCATGTGTGTGTGTGTGTGTGCATGTGCGTGTGTGTGTGTGTGTAGTGTAGAGATTGAAGTGTGTGTCTGTGCATGTGTGTATGTGTATGTCTGTCTGTGTGTGTGTATGTGTGTGTGTGTGTGTGAGAGAGAGAGAGATTCTTAGTACATACATCAGATATAAATACTGTCAGTGCTGAGTTATACAACAAGCAAGTAAATACTGATACTGATTTTTCATACTGATTTTGAAATAGTTCATTCTGCCAGTTGATTCTACCAGAATCAACCACAAAAAAGTACATCAATATACAAGAAATTATTTCCACTTGTAGCATATAGTTCTCTGATACAGTAATATATTAACCGTTGAAATGTATTGATTTCTTCCTGAACAATAATCAATCGGGCTCCATTCCTATCAAATAACTGATCAACATCGACTGAGAAATGAGAAGAAAGTGCTGTCGCTGCCACTGATGTTGATAGCAACATGACTGATTTGACAATCAATACATTGGGGCAAGTTATATTAAGTAGTCCACAACAAAGGGGGGATCCAGCGACTTCATTGTCAGATCCATTCAAACAAATATGTCTACTTTGGCCTTCGTGTAGTAATTGTCACTGAGGTCTGTAAGTGTTTATAAACAGAAAACATAGTTTGCAATACAATTTCTGATAATTTGGTTCGCCTCTATTTCATAATTGCTTAGGGGTTTTTTAAAAAAGAAACGTAAGGTTGATGGTGAAAATAAAAACATTAAAAAACAAATTCAACATTAAGGATTTAGTAAAGTGATTTCTGCAAGCCAAGCAAAAAAACCCGTGTTTAAAACAAAAAAAATGTTGATACATGTAAGAGGTGAGGTGAAATGGGGTTTAGCATTGCGTTCGAATACTGCACTTATGATAACGTGCATGCATGTGTGTGTCTGCTTGTATAATGCCAGTTTTATAGTTCTAGCCCTTGACGCCACAGTTCAACATGGATACCCCACTCAGACACAGTATACTGTCTCCAAGCTGTCCAATCTTTGTTTTATCCCCTATATGCCGAGCACCATACAGGGTAACAACATGTACCACCTTTTAACGTCTTTAGGAATGATGCGGCCGGGAATTGAAAATCTGACCATCCACTTTCTGGGCAGGCACTTTATCCACATGACCACAGATGCGGTCTCATACAAATAAGAGAGAGTTTGTAAACTTTTTATGACTGTTAGCAGCCCATGTGTGGAATAGAACCCAGGTATTCATAGTTATAAGCAAACACTTTAACCACTTGGCTACATCGCCAATACAACTAAGTTGACAAAATACTATTAACACATCACTAAAATATGTTAGTGTTAAGTAATGTATGGGATAAAGAGAAATAGAAAATGGTGCAATATAATTTCCATGGTGGTGCAATATACCTACTCTATATTTTCCCAATACCATAGGCATTCAAATTAAATAATCATTTCTATGACAACCCTAACAATTTGTTACAAACAGAAAGTTGAGAGTGAAAAGAAAGTGAAAATCTTTTAAAATTACAGTCTGTGACTTTCACTGCTTGTTTAGTAAAATCTTCCTGTGAAAACTGACAGACTGCAACAAAAAACTGTCATATGTCTACAAAACACAAGTAATGAGCAACAGCAAACGATGATAACGTAACTAAATACTAAGAAACGGCATCTAAACAGAAAGGATGCTGCCGAAACCATGGAAACGGCAGCACTAAAACACAAAGACCGCAGCCTTCCAAACTAAGGATGTGCAGATCAAGAGGAAAGTTGACCGTCAGGTCAAAAGGATCAACAGACAGCTAGTAAATTTCAATAACATATTAATACACATCTAGAATATTATCACTGTAAGATGTAAATTTTTATCACTGTTTGTTGATCCTTGTGACATTGCAATCAATTTCCCTTTTGTTCTGCACATGCCTAGTTTGGAATGTTGATCTGTGTTTTGGTGCTGCTGTTTCCATGTTTTCGGCAGCATGCTCTCAGATTTATGATGCTGTTTCTTAATTTTTGGTTATGTCTACATCGTTTTCTCATCCGATTCCATGTGCCTTGTAGACATGTGACAGTTTATGTCGCAGTCTGCCAGTTTTAATTGGTAGGCCTGAGTAAGCTTTGCTAACAAAAGTAGACACATGAACATTAAGATCTACTTAAAATAAAGTCAAGCGACAGGTTGAGGCTAGAAGACTCAAGAGTTTTGGGCACAGACATAATGAATAAAAATTGTCATAAATATACCACATAAATGAGAATAACTATGGTTTGGTTGTCTACCATTGTAAAAGGAATATATTTTCACACTTCAAATATATAGAGTATATATAGATATATAAAATATATGCATATATATTCATATTACCATCCACATGTATTGGAGAGAAGGAGGCTGAAAAGCAAACACAATAGACATTTATCAACAACTGATAGCTGAGCTAGTTCATTGCTTACATGCATCCCTGATACAATGGCCCTCTCCCCACTACCTATGGCAAAGCCTCTCCACATCTTCGCCTCTCCTCTATGAACCATGTGGAGCTGGCTTTACAATATTACATGATAAAATGCTGAAATAACCTGTTTTTATTTCAAATTAATTTTTATTAAATATTACTCAGTATAGGCTTTGATACAAATATGTTCACAAATTTCATAATTCCCCAGTTACGTTTATACTTGTTAACAGAATGAATGCATGCACACTTTAAATTTGCTTAATAATTTTCAGTCCATACACCTTTAATTAGTTCTGTGTCAATGAGAACCTATGGTTTGAATCATATCAAATAGTGAATAGTAGATAAGAATAAGTTCCTATCGTACGTTTTATTGTCTTGAAACTGTACATGAACCAATGACTTAAGCTGTTGAGACTTTATACTGAATAATGACGAACCAGTTGATTACTAGCCAAACATATTTAAATAAACATTTCAAATTACTAATAGTAGCTTGACATGTGTGAAATGATCACATTGCTACACATAAAGAACAAATATTTTCATTAACAAATGATACATTTTTAAAACTCATACTAAAGGTATGAAATCTATTTCCGCTCTTCACTACTATATAAGCAATATATAGTGCACATCACATTTTGCCAAACAATATTGTCCAGATCTATAGCAACAATACAATCTATGACATATCTATAGACATATAGCATATGCTTTAAAGTTGCTTTACCCATCCATATATCGACCAGTAGAGTGAGAATGGCTATATATTTTTTCATCTATTTCCTCTATTCTTTAAACAAGCTTCCATATCCACATATAAAGGAGGCCTGGCAGTAATTAGAGACCCGGAAACTAACATTTCAACATCGGTCCGAAATCAAGACCCTTCGTTTCAAAGCTTTTATTTATACAAAGTGGAATTAATTAAAATCTAACACACCCATTGCTTATTAGAAACCTGACGCTTATCAAAGACCCAACAATTATTGTGTACCCGGCGCTTATTGGTGGCCTGTTAAATACCCAGTGCTTATAGCGGAAATACGGTACTTTGAACAGAGACCTAACACTTACACATGCAAGTTTAGATGCTTAAACAATATTGTATTGGTTTGCCAAGTTCAAAGTCTACCCAAAATAATCAAAACCACATCAATGACATCATAGTTTCATAAGCCACATAAAACGCAGTAGCATCACCAACTTGAAGGCAGGTGGGCCGAGAAAATGTCACGTCATCTAGGAGATATACTCAAAGGCAAAAGAAACTATGATCATGTTCTTATTGATCAGAATATGATTTAAAAGCACTTAACTAAAAATCCTCACCTTTAAAAAAATAAACTGTACTGGTGTTTAACTGGGTTTAAGATTGATATATTTTGTTAATGATAATAAACTGTTTTACTCATATTTTTCATATTTAAATTTCATCTAAAATCATTGTTCCTTACAAAAGTATTCTTACGTATTCTTCATTTAACATATACAGTAGGGGCTGAACGTTTGATGTTTTACGGTACTAACTTTGATGTGTTTTAAAACCCAGTACATATTAGAACAGCCTGAAGCTAGGCTAAGTCTGTTGTGACAAGTGTGTTTTGTGTTTACAGTTAGAAGCCTGATCAATTCATAAACCTATACAACCCATATCAGGATATTCCTTATAACCTTTCATTTATTAATAAAGTAATAAATTAATAAATTCATATGATCACTGTACTCTTTTTGCCTTTGATTATATCCACATTGATAAATATATAGCTATAAATGTATAAAGAAATTCAGAAAATAATCACAGGACACGAATACTCTGCTACATGTTTCAGAGTTTCTCCCTGAAGATAAAACTGAAACATAGGACAGAAATTCATGTTGTGTGATTATCTTGTGAATTTATATATATATATGTGCCACTGTACACATGTGAATTTCACCTCTTTATTTACATATATATATACACTACCTGGAGGAGGTTTGGGAGAATTTTGACTCTCATAAAGTTGTCTTATCACAAAATCTCTGTAAGTCTGCAACATCATTATCACACACTCATCAGTCTTTATTTTCAAGTTTTGAAACTCTTGCTTTATTACATAAGTGGGCAAGTTGTGTATTGATTACTGAAAATATCATATCTATATGATAAGATCTTGTCAGCTGTTAATATAGTTCTAAAAAAAGTTATATTCTCAAGACATAGATGTATGATAAAATGTAATGTCATATTTCAATTTATTCTGATATATTCTGATGCTTATGTTTAAGATATTGTTTTAGAAGAAATATTCATGTTAAATTAAGATTTCATACAAATTCAACAATAAAATAAAACATTTCACGATTTAAAAAACTCCTTATAAGTGTTAATAAATTCGGAATAGTAAAGTAATTTTAACATTTCTGGTAGTAACAGCTTATAATAGACTCATGAGCTGATATGATATATCGTATTTGACGTAATAAGTGCCCACGGCGATATTTGCTAATATATTGGCTAGTGAACAATCCCAATTAGCACCCCTTCCGATAGATCAATGTACACAAGACATATTTATTCATGCATAATACTCGTGTGTTATATACACCCTTAATTATGGGCAATTAAATTCTGGAAAAATATATCTGTCGTATATAAACATTTCAGGCTGTCAGCAAAAACCACAAAATTTACGATCTTTCAACTCTTTTTTTTTCACCAAAATAATATTCTAATAAGAGCCCCCTATTTCTAATTTTAAGAACACCCTGGGCGCTTATTACGTCGAATACAGTAGTATGTGTAGCGTATATACACATGGTGAAATACGCTTAGTCCCTCAGATAACTGTCCCAACAACCAGCTCATGGAGCTCAGTTAGGTTTGGTTCATAAACAGTATAGGAGAGACTCCACCTGCCACAATCACCTGTTAACGAGATTGTTACACCGTGAACGAAGTACCCCGAACTGTGCATTGGCCTACAATAGCAGACAATATATGGAAGAGGTACTCAGAGATCTCCAAGAGTCCTGGTGTTGAGTTACTTAGAATCAAAATATATCACAGAGTTGCTGACAGCAAGGGGAAATGCACTCTCTTACTGGGCAAAAGTTGTCGCTATCGTTATCTACTATGTTGTATGAAGGAGATCCTTCTGTCTGTGTGTTATCTGTGGAGATCTATGGGGACCATGGGAGATCTCCTGTCCTCTAGTCTATTTACTGCTTGGTTAGATCAACGCAATCTCCAAGTGTTACAACGCAGATATATATAATTTTTTAATTGTGTATTACTGCTATGAATTAGTTTGACTTTAAATCCTAGTACATGTGGTCATATTACTTTGGGTTCTTCTGTATTTTTTAGGCTGCACTTAACTGCACTAAGCTGCACTCAGCGCTTACATTGCGTATGGAGTTACACGTTTAACAAGCAAACTATTATTATATCCCAGCTATATGACAGCAGCCTGTAAAAAATCAAATCTAGATCAGACAATCCAGTGATTCATGTAATGAGCAATGATGCTTGCTGTTGGTGTCTGATGATACGCAATCATCCACGTAACCGAGTCTGACCACCCGATCTATTGAGTCACCTAAAAGACAAGCAAAGATGCTGGGAACCTATTCTTACCCAGAATCTATGGATGGTCATGATATTACAAACTGATTTGGCTAACCTAAGCATTGGTACCTGACTAATTTTACTTGTCACATTTTATGCCAGGCGCAAAAACAACACATGATTATACACCATTTACAAACTCAATCATTCATGATACTGTCTTAATTTCCTTCCAAATTAGGTCTTCAATATATGTTAAAACAAAATGTCCGACAAGAAAGGGTTGGAAATATAAATACTTTCAATAAAATTCAATGCACAAAGCAAATTGTTTCTACTTTTTGCAAAATTTGATATAGGTCTTTCTGTAACAGATGGATACTCTCAAGAAGTGTCTGCCAATACTGCTTACTTTATGCAGATTTATATTTACATAATAATTGCAAGATTTTTAATTAACGTCAGTAAAAGACATCTTAACAAAACATTTTAAAACCTTATTTCGACAAACTCGTCAATTAAACTCTTCATTCTGATCTGTTATGTATTTGAATATTTATTTCCAAACAGTACAGGTATCAAACTTGTCAATAAAACTCTTCATTCTGGTCTGTTATGTATTTGAATATTTATTTCCAAACAGTACAGGTATCAAACTCGAGAATAATACTCTTCATTCTGAGCAGTATTTGTATTTGAATATTTATTTCCAAACAGTACCGGTATCACTTCCTCGGAGCAATCACCAACCTAGCAATCATGTCACCTGTCAACAAACAGTCTGACCTGTGGAGTACCCCCTTCGAGAAAATACCCCAGCATGTCAAGTGTCTGATACCGGCATTTATCTCCAGGACAGAACACTACGCATGAGGGATTACAGAATGATTCAGAGGTGCTCTGATAAGTAGGATATACGCCTGCACAAACTCTGTCCTTACAGGGAATTGTTCTGTTATATACTACTCAAAAAATGTTAAGGACCACCTATTCCTTCACTGTAGTTAATCTGCAATGACAGAATAATACAAAAGAATCGGGTGCTCTTTAACATAGTGACATAAACCATGTGAGTCAGATATATGGGTAATGAATAATCTGTTATAAAATCAAATAATAGAATCTCTAGGGAAATGGAGGTTCAACACAGATAGCCCAATTGTCAAACATACCACTATTCATTGTGAAGAGTTACATCCCTTGGGCATGCCAGGATCCTATGACCAAAGGTTCAAATCCATATTTTGCCTAATAATGGTCCTTGCTTTGTCACTTTGTATCCTTTCCTCTGACATTCGGCTGAGACAGTAAGTAAAATAACTGAAACACTGACTTTGAACCAATGACGAAGAACATCCTGGGAGCTAAATGATATAAAGGACATATACACCTGCACAGTAAATCGCCAGCCAAGTCGGCATCAAGCATATCAACTCAATGAACAATTCTTTAAACTTCACTAAGTAGGTCTATCTCCAAAGCATGATGAGCAGATTTCTTCTCATAAAAAAAAAAAAGAGAGTTAAGATAGATATGCTCATTTTAAAATGAATGTACACAACTGTCCTGACTTCTTTTTTCGGACATGCCTAATTTTAAAGTTTGAGATGACAACTTGATTTGATCCATCAATACTACCGGTGAGCCATCCTTATATTTATAAGAGAAAAGAAAAAAATCTGTTTGTTGCTATCCACTGTGAAACCTTTCAAACAACCAATTTCCGGATTTCATTATCACATACTGTAATGAGTGAGTGAGTTAAAATCTTAAGTCACATCGGCAATATTTCAGCCATGTCGTGACTATCAAGGGTTAAGCATAATGAATACACTGAAACTTACATAAAAACCTGCCAACTAAGGACACAAATACTGTAACCATGCTTCAAGCAGTGGCACAGCGACACTTCTCACTAGTGCCCTCCTGAGAACTCTGTATACAATACTTCTGTATACAATACTTCTGTATACAATACGTGAGGCAGTGGAAGACGGCATGAAGTGGGTAAAAGCATGATGTGACAAAATTTGTGTCACAAAAACCAAGGACAACTACTAGGGCAAATCTGGGATTTGAAACTATGACCATAGGATCCTGGCATACCTAAGGGACGTTACTCTGCACAGTGAATTGTGGTGCCTTAATCTGTTTTTGAGATTTTTCCCCCGAAAAGGACCCAGTGATACGAAAATGTGAATATAAAAACACATGAGTCAGTGCCTGTAAGAACAACACAAGGGAAGTGTAAATTAAATGGCAATAGGTTAAAATGTACTTAAAGAAATGTTCATATTGAATTTTTATTTTGCCAAGTGTTTATCTACATCTCAGACTCAGTGTCCCCCAAGAAATTCAAAGCGTACAGCCTGATTCAAACTGAGATTTATCACACATGCAGTCAGTGGTGGGTTATAATCTATCACTTTGTTGCTACACAATCAGATCCCAGTCAAAGCCACATTCCATTCAACATGGGGAAAGCTGGACGATAATACTGCCCAAATGGCCACGACAGAAAGGCTGGGAAGTCGATTGACAGCTTAAGTAGAAGTCGAAATATCACAGGATTGATCATCTGGCTTATCGAAAGATTGTCATGACTGTTGCATTGTGGGTTAATCATACGTTTGGTCATAATAGTGTCATTGGGGTTTACAAACAGACTGAAGTTTGAAAAAGAAAAAAAAACTCAAAAGAAAACAGGTTTATGTCATATTACGTTAACGCATAAAGATCTTTAACTAGTCCTGTAATTCACAGCAAGAATTGTTCAATACCTACAAAGGCGAGAAAAAGATAACATTTTAACTTCAAAGCCAGGCTTTCAAAAACATGGCTGTTATTATGGGGCCATCTTAGTCCGATCATATGACATAGCACACTTACACAAAGGAGAGGAAAGGGAAAAAAAATAACTTCAAAAACATGACAAACATATTTTATCTATCATTGTCTGCTCTGTCACAAAGAAAACACTTCTGAATATAATGAAAGAGATCAAAATAATTGTTTTCAGCTCACTTAAGTGAAATTGAAAATACTGTGTTTCATAATTTAAATTAGCTTGTTGTTGACATTCAATCAAGTAATAATCAAATTCTTATTAATTTATTGAGTGTTGAGTGTAATTTATCATACTAATGCAGTATGAGTCTGTTCAGTTCCAAATAAGTTATTTTTATATATGATATGGATTTATTATAGCGTAAGAATAATATTTGTTTTAAATACTATATTTCAAGCAATAAGTTATATCACGGCCTGTCAGCTTAATGTAGGAGGAAAGCCTTAAGTGATGCATGTCTCAGACGTTTACCACATCGGTGAAACCCACGAGCACGGGTATGGTGGTGACAAACCTAGAAACATAATTGGGTCGAACCGGGATTCGAACCCACATCCATAGGTTTCTTGCGTGCCCAAGGGACGCAACTCTGCACAACGAATCGTGGCACCTTAGATGAGTGGGCCACCCGTGCTCCCCTCTGCCACTGAAACTGCGTGGCTGTAGGTTTACATTCACAACCCTGCTTATTACTGTTTAGGAACTGAATAAGTGGGAAGAATGATTTGGGATGATAAATAAAATCTCACCCTCATGTCTTTTCATCATCGATACACTCAGGTGCTATTCTCTAATACAAATAAAAAATGAATAAGAGAAATTCTCTAGAAACAAAAATAAATAATAAATATATGTGACAATAAATGTTTAAAACACTTAGGATTATCAATATCCTCTTTCTTTTGTAGCACAAATGACTAAACTACATTTTCAAGGCCTAACATTGATGGTATGAACATTTTACCTTTTAATGAGTTCATATTTATTTGCATTCAGCCGACCAGTCTGGTTGTCATGGAAACATGATGCCATCCATTGCTGACGAATTCATTGGATTGCAGTATGACTTCATGTTTACATCACAGCTGTTTGAATACACACAGAAAGTGCTATGGAACACTTCCAATATCCCTGTATCTACAGGTCTACAAACATATGTACTCAGGTTGGCAGGTGTAATTGAGCATTCAACACCCGAAAATGTCATTTTGAACCAATGGCGTGAAGTCCTCAGTATGTTTCAACAATGTCCACCCTTTACATTTTCATTAGTGACACTGCAATATTTATGCCTACTTCTGTCCTGAAAATGTTATACCAACAAAGAAAGTGGTATGAACAAGGCTATATATCCTATCGACAATAAAACTGTATGCCTCAAAGAGTCTTATCGCTAGTTACAAGTTTAGGATTTATTTTCATCCCATTCCAAAAGTAGCCGCGTGTCACCAAGTACAATTGAACTTACTATAAGATGTACCTGACAAAGGCTGAGGGTTTGCTGCAACAAGTTATTAAATTTATAGACATACAATAAGCAATATCGCCACTGCATCCGTCCATGGCGACCAAATGAGGACATTCAGTTGATAATCTCAATCTTTCATGGATTTTCTTTCTTATAAGTTAATTCTATTGGAAAGTATTGGCACTTAGAGCAGTATATTCCAAAATCAATATTCTTTGTTTTCTAGGTATTGTCGCAAACACTTCAGATATCAAAAGCAGTAGCAATATTATTACTGTACACAGAAATCTGACAATGTAACTGGTAGTTGATAGGATGATAAGATTATAGACCTTATGTATCAATAAATATACAAAGAAATAATATATGAATGCTATAAAGTGAATATCATTTATTGATAAACATCTTGAGAACTTAGATTTATTCTGAATATAGAATATATCAAGGCTGATTATTAGTGATTAATATTGTTTTCATAACTTACTGTTTGTATAATAATCTTAATGAATTGCTTAAATGACAAATTGTATAATATCATACACTGTATAATCATTTGTTTTTGATTAAGCTTACTTGGATTAAATCATTTGTAATATAATATTAACTTGTGATGCATCGTCAATACTTGATGGGATCGTATACTCTATGTTTCAATATCTTTCCACAAATCAAGTCACTGCCAGGTTCCAGCAAGTCCTCTGACCAAGAGCACTCAGATTACATCGTAAAATGGCAACATTTCTCGCGCAACCTAGTTACAGCCTTGCCGCCATGCACTATACACAATTGCTTTAATAACAGGCAGTGGTAGGATTTCCAAAAGATTTTTGCACAGAGGAGCGCTTATTTGGCTTTCACGATTAATACGTATTTCATAACTTGACTTAAAATAGACACAACCTCCGACTATACCACATATTGGCAATATGTATTCACGGGTGATGGAGGGATGTGGTTTATACAACTCTGTAGAAGTATCAACAGTGCTTGTGATGACGAAGGATATGATGATGAGTGAGTGAGTGGGGTTTAACGCCGCTTTTAACAGTATTCCAGTTATATCACGGTGTGTCAGCTTAATGGGGGAGGAAAACCTGAAGTGATGCAGGTCTCAGGCTTTTACCACTTCGGTGAAACCCACGAGCACGGGTATGGTGCTGACAAACCTAGAATCATAATCGGGGCGAAATGTGTGATGATGAGGGATTTGATGATGAAGGATTTGATGATGAAGGATATAATGCCTCATGGCATCATTTTGAATAAGTATTATATAAATATACCGTATTTCCTCAACTAAATGCCGGGAATATATTTCGTTCAGACACTCTTTACCTCCAGTGATTAGTCGCAAAGCTTATAATGAGGAAAATTTCCAGCATTCAAACTACCTAGCATTTCATCGACACCTGGCATTTAATCAAGACCACTTGTTTATTCAAGGAAATATGGTATAAACAGACAAGATGATAAGTAGTGCCTCCTCTTCATAGCATCAGTAACATATGTACTACATGACATTTAATCACTAAAGAGGATCGAGGAGTGAGTTTATGAGTGAATATTGATTTCTTCGCTTTTGTCAATGTGTTGGATACAATGGGAGAAAATAAAAAAAGATAGAAAATAAAAGAATTTCTGGCAGATTTAACTTCATCTTCGTCAACTTATTGAGGATCTATTCTAATACACCTGCGTCAAAATAATCTAGTAGTATTGGAATAATAAAATATCTTTTGAAATTTATTCAGCCAGCAATTGTTTAACATTTAGCCTGCTGAATTGTTTTCACACTTCTTACCTCTGCCCAGAGGATTAATTTTAGCATAAGGCGCTGGGTGGGTGCTTTCAAACAGTCGAGGCTTCATTAAACATGGGACAAATGAACTAATATTTCCGACATTTTGTCCTATTAGATAAGTACACATATATCATATAAAAATCTCGTGACATTTTCAAGCATATAGAGGTCAAGACTAAAACGTATATAAAATTTTAAAATTTTCTTAAACTTAAACCTGAATTACGATATTGGATGTGGAATGCGTTTCATATTAGATACCTGCATAAATCGTCAAATTTGCGCGAATTGATTTCAATAATCACATCTCCAATATCTTAAATTTAACTGAGCATAAATTTGCATGCTTTTATCAGCAAACAATGGGGCAATAGTAAATTATGAACCATTTCAGTAAATTTATTTTATCAAAACATTAAACAGAATAAAAACTTATTTTTTGAGGTCATCATGTCAGTTGCAGAAATGAGAATATTACAGTAAATCTAACATATCATGTCATAAAACTTGCAGGATACAATAAACAACTTATAAATATTCACTGATCCAATACTGCGCTCTTGCAATGATGGAGAACTACACGATATTTATTGAGAAGTGTAAATTAAATTTTCAAATTTACAAACAAATAATCACAAGGTAACATATAATAACTTCATCATCAAATTTACCCTATAATTCACTGGGCAAGATTAATACAGTCAGAAAATCAAAGTGTTCAATCTCGTTTTCACCCATTCAGTTCTACCTCAGCATCAATTCCAAGTGTCAATTTTCTGACAAGAATAATTACTGACATAAATATACCGCCAAAAGATTTCTCCTTGCAATGATATTGATCATTTGGTGGCTTCCTGCCGTTAAGTAGCCCAAAACTTGCCCCACACCAAGATGTGTGGAATCAGGAGCGCTGTTACCTGCAGTGCTGTCAATAATTCATCCCTGATCAATGGAACTAGTTTTGTAGGCCAAACCATATACCTGACTGATAATCCCGAGAGATCTGAAGGTTCGATGAGTGTAACATTACATTTACTGTGTGAAATGAACCCTCAGTCACCCCCACAATATTATTAGATACATTTTGTCTTTGATCTTTGTTATTTGGCTGTAGTTTTGATTATTTGCTTCAGTAAATTATTTAGTAATTCCTGTAACAGATATTAAATAACTATGACCTATTTCATTTACTGATGATCAAATTAACATCTCCCTTTAGACAATTGCAGTTATTATTTTATCATGCAAATAATATTATATGGTGACATAATGATGTGCATTCTCAAATACAAACAGTGTGGTTTCTAGCTACTATTTTCTACTCCTATAGGTCATACACCCAGTTAAAAAATCAAAACAAAAACTATACACTGAAATATTTGCAAATAATCCAGAGAGATCTTGTACTTGTACCTACAAGTACTTAAAGGTTTACTTTAATATATGCATTATACTTTTCTTTTATTTTGACAGTTAATTGAAGTTACTGTGCATGTTTATTGATGAAGACTTTGTACATAAATGCATGCTTTACTTTGATAAGATGCAATTATGGATCAAAATGTAAAAAACATAAACTTGTTTCAAGATATTTCTAAGATAATATTCAGAACTAAATGAATGGTTAAATATCTAAATTTGACTTTTCACTTATTAATATTTACTCCTAATATTGAGAGGCTGAAACACCATATCCAAAATTACATATATTCAAGGTTTAATAAAAGATAAAAAAAATATACAAGTAACAAGCAAAATATAATTGTACCTCAGAAAGTGTCCCAAACTCAAGGAAGTGTTCTGTTATGTTACCAAGACACAATCAAGTGACCCAATCTCTTCATTACAAGTACAGCAGTCAAATATTAAAAATTTAAAGTCCATATAAGATACCCAAATCTGAAATGAATTGACAGCTATAACTAAAATGGAAATTGCATGAATAAGTACCACTGCATTTATATAACACAGTTTTGGGGGGTCTATAAAAATCAAATATTTTGTCCTAAAATCTTAATAATGAACATCAGATAACATTTCTTTCAAAAAACACCCCAGAGAAAGTTTTACTTTACCACAAAGTTTATCAAACAACAAGATCCGTCACAACTTTTACAGAACTCTAAAAACAATATATATGTCTTAAAAAATGTATTATTTGTGAATGTCACTTACGGTCATGTTCGAGTCTCAGTGGTCCTGCATTTGGCTCATAGTATCGAGCTTGTGACATTTCAGATGTAACTTAAAACGTATCTAATTCCAACAGGCTGTTACTTGTTTTAGATGACACACCATTTAGCTTCTTACTTTGGTCTGTGCATAGTGACAGAGCACGCCGCCGGAAATGACCTTTTTGTTGTCATTATTGTCATGACGCCAGGTCATATGCAAATAGGAGGAACGAAAGGGAAAGATTTATTGACTCCAAATAGTTTATGTGCAATTTTATGATTTATGCTATTCTATGTCTACATAAATATAATCCTTTATCTCAACAGCTAGGTTGATTGAAGCAAAATCATAAACTACATTCAGGGATAAAATTACAAATCGTTGTTTATTTCGGTGCTCTTTAGAAAAAACCGGAATCGGAAAGGAAATATTTGACGCATGCGTAATAAGAAAATACTCCGGCACTGGAGTAAACAAATGTGATTGTAATTATACACTTTAAAGTTTTGGGATAATAACAACTATTACATTCGGAACAAAATGGCAGACGCTGATCCAGTAACAATTGTAAGTACATATATTAAGAGACAAATGAAATTTCAACGTAATATTGCACTTAGAGCGAAAAGGAGGTAATTATATGCACATGCATGTAACTTCGTGGTATCGATATTAAAGGTATTTTGACATTTGTTTACTTGCTTGACAAATGCCAACTGATAGTTACACCAAAATGACCGAAGACATGCTATATGTTACATATTTATTCATTCTTTTCGCATTCCCTGAATATCCAGCTTAACCGAGATGTATTTTTGACAATCAATGTAATCTTATCGATGCTTGTAAAAAAGTAAGCTGTCACTACACCTGTTGTAAAACCGCTTGGTGTTTACGTGAAGATCCGGGTTAGAATTGGTCCTCATCAACCCATGATTGTCGTAAGAGTTGACTAACGCAGTCGGGTGGTCACGTTCGCTGACTTGCTTGATCCATGTCATGTACCCAAACTGTGTGGGTCAATGTTCATATCAATCATTGGATTGTCTGGTCCAGACTCGATTATTTACTGACCGCCGTCATATAGCTGGGATACTGCTGAAACTTTCTGTATTCTGGTTTTGGCTAGGGTACATTTCTGTATACAGAAACATAGATGGGGTAGATATCTGTAGAATCCGTGCCTACGACCCCTGCATGTTGAGTAAACTGTCAGTTATCTTCTGAAGCATGAGTTAGTGTAGGATGGTGCGCTATATTATTGTGCTAGTTAATTTATAATGGATTGTAATGGCGCACGCTTACAGACCTATCAAATATGTCATTCGCAAAATGTTTCTTGTTCATTGTTCAACTTTTATGACACATCAATTAGAAATGATCGATGCTAATTTTCATTACCGAGTTCAGTAGACAAACTACCTGTCATTAGCGACTGAAGGATGGGCAACTCTATTTTATCAAAGTATCACTATTTTGTGATGTGACGTGTGGAATATGCTGTTTACATCACTTCCTGTTTTAGATTATGCTTAATCAATATGCATACGACCTAGGTTGAGTCAGCTATCATAAAAATGTTAACATGTATACTTACGAGTAGCCATGACATACCACAATGAGTCCTGTATTTGATCAAGCAATGAAATATTGTGCTTAGTTTTGCATAAGTTAACAGTCAACAGGGAGTGTGGATTACGAGATTTACCGATACTGCGATAGTAATGAGACAGATAATGTAGAGTCATACTATACATCATGTACATACTGCATACTGAGAATGAAATGTCTCAGATTATAATAATGGATAGGCCTCAATTTCAAACACTGGACATTTATGTAGTACTTTCTGGTATCTGTGAATTTAGGGGTAGACCTATCTTGTCTACAGCTCATTTCAGACTAGAGGTCAGAGTAAAATAATAATAAATTGGACAAAACAAATAATACTTCTAGATTTGCACTTGTCTTGGACTAACAGACCAGTGGTTGTCACTACTAGGTCTGTTCCTGGTCATATGGGTAAGAGATGTGGTGACAAATGTGAATGTTTCTCTTCATAATAATCATGATAATATTGTCATGTTTATGTGAGTAAGGTAAGAGTGGATCCATTTGGAACACTGCAGAAGTATTAAACTGTAATCATGGTGATGGATTTTGTTTATGATGGTCAATACGTTTTTCCTTTTCAGGCGAAAATAAATTATTATTTGAGAGAGAAATACTACAACCATGTTGAAAGTACAGCCACAGAAGGCTTACAAAAATATGGGAATGATCCTGTCCTCAAATTCTTTGTGGCATTTGCAAAGATTCTGCAAGGTAAAGTATGTTTTTTAAAGAGGGATCATTTCTTTCTTCTAAGAATTATTCATATAGCATATTAATTACAGATGTATCATATATACAGAAACATACTTAAATAAATATATTGCAAGTGATTCCATGGCATTTGAATGGCTAACCAAGCAAATATTTGGCTTGTTTCCAAAACCCTTCCCCCCCAAATTAGGCTACTCCTGCTAACTTACTGCTGTTTCCTGATTGGCTGATAATAGGATGGGCAGGGCTTGGTGGCATTACTGCACCAAACAATGTCACAGATTTCATATTGTTGTGTTTATTAGATAAGCAGTGTGTTCAGTTATTGTTGATGTATTTAATTACAAGAACCGAAATTAATATGTTGTTTTTTTGTGTTTATGAAGTTATAAATGTAAAAAAACATTCTGCACACTTTGCCTGAATATGCTACCCATATTTACTGAGTGAGCACACCGGTTTTTATTTTTCTGCCTCCTAAAACACTAAAAATATTGAAGTCATGTTTTAACTCACAGAATAGGAATGTTGAACAGTATCACTTGTACCGTGTTTGTCATGTGTTGGGCAGTTGTATCGTACACATGGTACAACTTCACATGTTAATGCTATACTTGTGATGCAGATTATGAAATTACTGTGCTATTACTGTTAGGAACTTGGTTTGTGTACTAGTACTAGTACCGCATTCAACGTAATAAGCACCCCACTCTAATCACTGCTAATAAGCGATATTTGCTAATATATTGGCTAGTGAACAATCCCCATTAGCACCCTTCCGATTGATCAATGTACACAAGACTTTTTTATTCATGTATAATACGCACTCGTGTGTTAATATACCCTTAATTACGGGTAATTACATTCTGGAAAAATATATCTGTCGTGTATAATACACACAGATTTTTCTTTTGTATCATTTCAGGCTGTCAGCATAAACCACGAAATTTACGATCTTTTAACCCTTTCACCAAAATTATATTCTAATAAGAGCCTCCTTTTTCTAATTTTGAGAGCGCCCTGGGTGCTTATTACATCAAATACGTTAATATAGATACAGATGAACATGAGTGACTGGATAGACCCTTAATGCTTATTACTTACGAGAAGCAAAACACCCTGTATAATTCCGGGTAAGAATATAGGTTCCCAGCAAATCGTGCTTGTCTTAAGAGGCGACTTTGGGGATCTGGTGGTCAGACTCGATGACTTGGTTTATTGGTTGATGCATGTCATTTCGTCGATCGATGCTCATGATATCGATCACTTATTTTTCTGTCCCTGACTTGATTATCAACAGATCGCCATCATATAGATGAAATATCGCTGACTGTGGCTTTAAACAAAAAACAAGCAAAATAGCCAAAGTTATACGGAGCCAGGAGTTAGAGTTACTAAGTGAATATGTTGAATGCACATCGCGCAGTCTGGAACGTTTGCTCCCAGTGTACATGTCATGTCATCAATGTTTTCATGTTCCAGACCAGACAGGGGAGGGGATGAGAGAACTTGACATGCTGAAAGAGAAAAGAGATGTGAACCTTTGTTCAACTATGGCATTGATGTTTGCTCATAAACGCAGCCAGACAGTGGGTAGGTCATGTTTAGCATTGGCAATGTGTGTGCTCATTATTGAGTTGAAGTAATAGTTGAAAATGGTGTGAGCTGTTCTTGTTTGGACTTCGCTGCCAGGACCCAACAATTGTAGTTTCAAGTAGTCTTTCTTTATGCAACTAATCGATACTTTGCAAGCATACTGGAAGCAAACCTAAAAACTGGGGGCAATTTTTCTGACCTTAACATCGTGTCCCCAAACTATCAACTGGTCATCTCCCCCCTTCCCACACACACACACACTTTTGATTCACGGAGATATTCCGCCTCCATCTCCATGATTCATTCATTAAAAACACTGACCAGTGACTGCTTCATAGTTCTCCCCTCTACTACTGTTAATTAAACTAAATTCTTATAACCCCTCGTCAGTCAATGAAACTTTACAAGACCCTGTCATCTCCCTACTTCATCAACTAGTTAATCCAGACAAAGTAGACAGAATTTCTTTAATACTGGAAAGGCGACATTTGGTTATAGATCCTTATAAGTTATACCATTGTCAAGCAATATATACTGTCATTCTTGCTTGACAACGGTATAAGGATCTATTCCGAAACGTTGCCTTTACAGTATTAAAGAAGTTGTTATCCATGTCTACTTTGTGTCTACTTTGTCACTGTCAACTTCTAAGTAATGCCTATCAAACAATTAGTTAATCCAGGGTCACCAGCTGCTAGAGTAGCTGCAGGTTAGAATAGTGATAACGTCCATTGATAAAGGACAGACCCTTTAAGGTGTGGGGTCTTCAGCAACCCATGCTTGCCGTAAAAGGTGACTATGCTTGTCGTAAGAGGCGACTAACGGGATCGGCTGACTTGGTTGATGCATGTCATCAATCCCAATTGTGTGGATTGATGCTCATGATGTCAATCACTGGATTGTCTGGTCCAGACGCTGAGTGCGGTGTTAAACAACAGACAAAACAAAGGACAAACAAAATAAGTCATAATGCCTGGACACCATGTTTTATTTATGTATTTTTCTGTTTCCAGATCGTGAAGCAATACAAGAACTAGATGCTAAACTTAAAGAAGAGAGAAAACAGGCTGGAGAAATGGTTAGTGTTAGGCAATGTTATGTTACTTTTGTTATAGCAAAATCAGTTATGGGGTACTTTTCTGTCTTGATATTGTATGTAATGGGCATTCAATGTCAGAATAGATCCCCAGCAGTTTGAGCTTGCTGTAGGAACAGAGGATTGGGTGGCCACAATGTCTGACCTGGCTGATTGGGTGTAATAGTACTCTGTGGGCATGGACCATTGACATGCTGGTTGGTTTCCATGGTCCAGGTTTGATTGTTCACATGCTGTTTTCATATTGATTACCATATTCTAAGTAATAAGCGCCCAGGGAGCTCTCAAAATTAGAAATAGGGGGCTCTTATTAGAATGAGAATACGCGAATAAATAAGTCTTGTGTACATTGATCAATTGGAAGAGGTGCTGATTGGGATTGTTCACTAGCCAATATAATAGCAAATGTCGCCGTGGGCAATTATTAGAGCGGGGCGCTTATTACGTCGAATACGGTATATGTACTGATGAAAGAGGCCCACCCCGGCCCCAGACTCAGACCCAGACAAGGTCAGGCCTGGGGTAAAATATGTCCAAGAAATATCAAGTCTGTTTATCCTGATGCAATATGATTGCCCCTAATTTAATTAAAATCTAGTGTTTTTTCTTTCTGCGGTAATAGCCTGACTACTTCGCTTCATAAACCTCCTAGAAATGTTCCATTTTACCATTTACCATTTCCATTTTACTATGATTTGTGAATGAAATGATCATCATTATCATTGTTGACCTTTCTGACCTAGATGTGGATTAATCTAATACTGCTGTATGCACATTTTATTGCTGATCTGGACTTCAAGCAAACTATTAGCCAAACGACTTGTGTAAAATAATCATATACATTCTCGCGAAATTTGACAAAGTTCACTGTGTTGATATTTCTGTGCAGACAAGTCATGATGTCAGCTAAAAGGCAAATTAACATGGGTTTTATTTAAACATTGACTTTGAAACCACATGAGTAAACATGATCATGTAACTCGTTATTTCAACTGCCGAATGAACCAATCACCGGTGACCGTGGTGAGGGTCGCTAATCGGGGAGGCTCCCAGCAGATCGGGAGGTAACACATGTATACCTCACCTCGCCTCACCTCACCTCGCCTCACCTCGCCTCGCCTCACCTCACCTCACCTCACCTCACCTCACCTCACCTCACCTCACCTCACCTCACCTCACTTCACCTCTAGAATTGTTCCTTGTTATTCCAGGGCTTGTACTACGCAGGGCTGTTCCTTTTCCATACTGGCAAGTTTGACAAGGCCAGGGAGTACATTGATCGAATGCTGAAGATGGACCCTTCTGCCAGAGAAGTAGGTTTTCTTCTGTCTTAGTAGGAAATTGTCTAGACCTGCTTAGAGCATGTAGAGGGTGGTATTGAGCCCCAAGTTTGCAAAAAAGGCTGTACAAATTCCCAAATTGCAATTACAAATTTCCCCTTTCATGTTATTAAGTAATAACTAATGTTATTGTATTGTACAGGTGACTTGTATTTGACTGGCCATTTTGAGCAAAATAACGAATTACCCCAAACTGCCTGCCACGGGCACTTGGTATGGAATCCTGGGTAAATCCCTGGTTATACACAAGGTTTCCCGAATACAGAGAGTACATAATGTTGGTATCAGATTTATCAGGAATGATCCAAATTATCAGATTAATGTACCTTTGAACAAGTGTTAACAAGAGGTATAGACAATGATAGAAGTTAGATATGTCAGATACATCGACTTACTGCCTAGGACAATGTTAGTTAAAGTGCACAGCTTGTGTCTGATTGTGGCATAGTTAATCGGATTTAACAGCTTTCAGATATATATGAAACCACTTATTATAGTTTTTTTTCTCTAAGGCATATGATCAGCATACCTGTTTGTTTCTCAACAGTATTCAGCATTTTTTTGATAGCTTAGTGTATATTCGAGACACATCATTATCTTACAGGACTGTTTATGTCTGTCATATATTAGTACTATTACTTATCTACGACACAACAGTATATTGTTTCTGTCTCCCGGACGGCGTTGTTGACGTCATTCGAATCTTAATGTGCCGTGAGGTCGGAATGACGTCACTCTAGAAACAACGTCATAGCTGAAGATTGTAGACGTCATTCGACAAATTGTGGTTCCGCTGCTGTTGTGACTTGTTGTCCTTATAGGTAAACACTAAACTCTAAAATTCGTCTCTGTGTGTAGACATCTTCTTTGGTAATAAACAGAACGTGAAATTTGTGTTCATGTCATACTGTGTCTACCACACTCGTGCCTCAATTCCGGTATTTAGACACTTGGGTATAAAACATTCACTCTTATTATGCCTTACAGTGAGATTGACCAATTAGGGAGCAGAGCTACTAACCCCATATGAGCCCGTATATCGTCAGTAAAAATCCAAGATGGTTGTTACTGACCTAATATGAGAATGTGTACCGGCAATAGCAGCCATTTTGGATTTTGCAACACATATTTCACATGAAAATTTGGGTACAGAAATTCATAATTCGACACTGTTTTGTATGTTAATATCATTTATTGTGATGCGCAAAGACATTAATGTTTAAAGAAACCATGTTCGTGACGTTATTCATAAAAAGTATAGAGAAAAATGCTTACAAGAAATACAACGGAGGCCACTGAGTTACAAAAAGCAATGTCATAGAAAAAAAACCCTGATGCCTATAACGTCACATAGCAAAAGAATAGATTGCTAAGCAACCCGTAGTTGGGGGAAGCGGACTGCTATCAAGTTACAGTTGCCCGCAGATTTCTGTTGACATGCGGGCATATTTATGAAAATTCTTTCCATTTTAGCTATAATACTTGTTTAAACATTCACATTTAGAATGTTTAGTGCATTATATATTCCATTGTCAACGTTTATGTTTACATTAAAGCGTTGTATCGGAAACATATGTACTAGTCCTGTCGTTTGTACCAGTTGGTTATTTTGACGTGACATGTGCGATAAAGAAACCTAATAGTGTAAACTTTTTGGCATAATAAATTTGTTATGGTGTCTTTAGTTGCTGTATATGGTGTCATATTAGTTAAGCAGAAAAATATTGGTCAAGGCGTGAGCCAAGATTAATATTTTTCTGCTAATATAGTATTATAATTTTCATTAATATAAAATGTTAATCTTGGCTCAGGCCTTGACCAATATTTTTCTGCTAACCTAATATGACGCCGTATACGGCCACTAAGCATGCTTAAGACACCATAACTAATAATATAATATCCTCTATATATTCACACACCTGTATGAAAGAATGTGTGTACACTGAATTTGAAGTCGAAATCAGCTGCAGCTGTTTCCCTGGCTTGTAATTAATTTGTTCTAGCCTAATACCTAAATATGATGATTGGGATTTTTCAGCAGCAGTATAATGTGTACAACTGAGAAGACTCAACATATTCAATATTTTGTTTTTCAATTTGCAGGGTCTGGTAATCAGGGGCTGGATTGAGATGTCGGGTGGCCGAGACCTGAAGAAAGCCATCCGATACTTTGAAGAAGCAATGGAGTCAGTATTGATACTGTCTAGAAGTATTTTTATGTTGTTACAATATTCTCTTGGGCCTTGGGTGCTTGTTCTACAAAGCACTCTTTGCGCTATGACTGTTCTAGGTCAGTGTAAATAAATATGAGCATTATGATTGTCTTTAGGGCAGTCGGGTAGCCTAGTGGTTAAAGCGTTCGCTCGTCATGGCAAAGACCCAGGTTCGATTCCCGAAATGCGTACAATGTGTGAAGCCCATTTCTGGTGTCCCCCGCTGTGATAGTTCTGGAATATTGCTAAAAGCGGCGTAAAACCATACTCACTCACTATGATTGTCTTAGCGCTAGGATCACTTTATGGAATAGGGACCTGAGCAGAACAGGGGCCTGTTTCACAAAGCTATCACAGACCTATGAAGGTCATAAATCTATGTTAGAGTATGTGCATTATGATTGTCTTAGCGCTAAGATCACTTTGTGGAATGGGGACCTTGGTCCCGTTGTACAAAGCGATCTTAGTGCTAAGGTAATCGTAACTCCCATACCTTGACATAGACTTACGACAGTCATAGCACTAAAATTGTTTTGAACAATGGCACAGCGCTACGAAGATCATAAATCTATGTTAGAGCATGGGAGTTAAGATTGTCTTAGTGCTAAGATCGCTGAAAATGATTCATAGAGTTTTTGCTTGTAGTCTCAAAGTCTTTGCCAGAGACTGATGCACTCCATGTGAAACCAATGGCTTGAGAGGCTTTCAAGTGTAAAAAGTCAAACTTCAGTTTACAATTTGTCTGTCTTAAATAGATATTGAATTTCAACAAGGTACTTGGAATTTCATTGTGTTGTTATTGTGCAACAGGAAACATGGCAACAGGGACATCGATGCCCTATTTGGCAAGTCCAAGTTCTTGGAGCACCGCCGCAACTTCAGCGGCGCCCTGGAAGTGGTAAACCAGGTGGTGGTGGGCTTCTCCGGTTTCCTCCCGGCACTCATCGAGAAGATGAAGCTGCAGCTAGCTCTGCAGGACTGGGACCAGACCATCGAGACAGCACAGAGGTGAGTGGCATAGGGGACATCTTGTACATGCCTGTCAATGAAAGAGGTTGCTGTTGGAAAATTGGTGTAATGAAGCTGTAATGCAGTATGAAGCTTCAGCCTGAGATCATCAAACCGCTAAGGTCAGGTTGCACGGGATTACAGTGCATGACTATTTGTTTGGGTGGTGAAATGTTTTTCTGTTTTGTTTCCACTAAAGGAAGAAGGCAGAATGCATAATGTGAGATAGTATAAGTAACTATAACTGAAGCTTTTAATTTTGTGTCTTTATCAACCCTGAGTTTACCACCCTGTTTATCATTCTCTCCCATCCTGTGTTTATGATCCTGTGTTTAACATTCTCTCCCATCCTGTGTTGAACATTCTCTCCCATCCTGTGTTTATGATCCTGTGTTTAACGTTCCCTCCCACCCTGTGTTTATGATCCTGTGTTTAACGTTCCCTCCCACCCTGTGTTGAACATTCTCTCCCATTCTGTGTTTATGATCCTGCATTTATCATTCTCTCCCATTCTGTGTTTATGATCCTGTGTTTAACGTTCTCTCCCACCCTGTGTTGAACATTCTCTCCCATTCTGTGTTTATGATCCTGTGTTTAACATTCTCTCCCATCCTGTGTTTATGATCCTGTGTTTAACGTTCCCCCCCATTCTGTGTTTATGATCCTGCATTTATCATTCTCTCCCATTCTGTGTTTATGATCCTGTGTTTAACGTTCTCTCCCACCCTGTGTTGAACATTCTCTCCCATTCTGTGTTTATGATCCTGTGTTTAACATTCTCTCCCATCCTGTGTTTATGATCCTGTGTTTAACGTTCCCTCCCACCCTGTGTTGAACATTCTCTCCCATTCTGTGTTTATGATCCTGTGTTTAACATTCTCTCCCATCCTGTGTTTATGATCCTGTGTTTAACGTACCCTCCCACCCTGTGTTGAACATTCTCTCCCATTCTGTGTTTATGATCCTGTGTTTAACATTCTCTCCCATCCTGTGTTTATGATCCTGTGTTGAACATTCTCTCCCACCCTGTGTTGAACATTCTCTCCCATCCAGTGTTTATCATCCTGTGTTTAACGTTCCCTCCCACCCTGTGTTGAACATTCTCTCCCATTCTGTGTTTATGATCCTGCATTTATCATTCTCTCCCATTCTGTGTTTATGATCCTGTGTTGAACATTCTCTCCCACCCTGTGTTGAACATTCTCTCCCATCCAGTGTTTATCATCCTGTGTTTAACGTTCCCTCCCACCCTGTGTTGAACATTCTCTCCCATTCTGTGTTTATGATCCTGCATTTATCATTCTCTCCCATTCTGTGTTTATGATCCTGTGTTTAACGTTCTCTCCCACCCTGTGTTGAACATTCTCTCCCATTCTGTGTTTATGATCCTGTGTTTAACATTCTCTCCCATTCTGTGTTTATGATCCTGTGTTAAACGTTCTCTCCCATTCTGCGTTGATGATCCTGTGTTTAACGTTCTCTCCCACCCTGTGTTGAACATTCTCTCCCATTCTGTGTTTATGATCCTGTGTTTAACGTTCTCTCCCATCCTGAGTTGAACATTATCTCCCATTCTGTGTTTATGATCCTGTGTTTAACGTTCTCTCCCATCCTGAGTTGAACATTCTCTCCCATCCTGCGTTTATGATCCTGTGTTTAACATTCTCTCCCATCCTGTGTTTATGATCCTGTGTTTAACGTTCCCTCCCACCCTGTGTTGAACATTCTCTCCCATTCTGTGTTTATGATCCTGTGTTTAACATTCTCTCCCATCCTGTGTTTATGATCCTGTGTTGAACATTCTCTCCCATCCTGTGTTTATGATCCTGTGTTTAACGTTCTCTCCCATCCTGAGTTGAACATTCTCTCCCATCCTGTGTTTATGATCCTGTGTTAAACGTTCTCTCCCATCCTCTGTTTATGATCCTGTGTTTAACGTTCCCTCCCACCCTGTGTTGAACATTATCTCCCATCCTGTGTTTATGATCCTGTGTTTAACGTTCTCTCCCACCCTGAGTTGAACATTATCTCCCATCCTGCGTTTATGATCCTGTGTTTAACGTTCTCTCCCATCCTGAGTTGAACATTCTCTCCCATCCAGTGTTTATCATCCTGTGTTTAATGTTCTCTCCCACCCTGTGTTGAACATTCTCTCCCTTTCTGTGTTTATGATCCTGTGTTTAATGTTCTCTCCCACCCTTTGTTGAACATTCTCTCCCATCCTGCGTTTATGATCCTGTGTTTAACATTCTCTCCCATCCTGAGTTGAACGTTCTCTCCCATCCTGTGTTTATGATCCTGTGTTTAACGTTCTCTCCCATCCTGTGTTGAACATTCTCTCCCATTCTGCGTTGATGATCCTGTGTTTAACGTTCTCTCCCACCTTGTGTTGAACATTCTCTCCCATCCTGTGTTTATAATCCTGTGTTGAACATTCCCTCCCACCCTGTGTTGAACATTCTCTCCCATTCTGTGTTTATGATCCTGTGTTTAACGTTCTCTCCCACCCTGTGTTGAACATTCTCTCCCATTCTGTGTTTATGATCCTGTGTTTAACGTTCTCTCCCACCCTGTGTTGAACATTCTCTCCCATTCTGTGTTTATGATCCTGTGTTTAACGTTCTCTCCCATCCTGAGTTGAACATTATCTCCCATTCTGTGTTTATGATCCTGTGTTTAATGTTCTCTCCCATCCTGAGTTGAACATTATCTCCCATTCTGTGTTTATGATCCTGTGTTTAACGTTCCCTCCCACCCTGTGTTTATGATCCTGTGTTTAACGTTCCCTCCCACCCTGTGTTTATGATCCTGTGTTTAACGTTCTCTCCCACCCTGTGTTGAACATTCTCTCCCATTCTGTGTTTATGATCCTGTGTTTAACATTCTCTCCCATCCTGTGTTTATGATCCTGTGTTTAACGTTCCCTCCCACCCTGTGTTTATGATCCTGTGTTTAACGTTCCCTCCCACCCTGTGTTGAACATTCTCTCCCATTCTGTGTTTATGATCCTGCATTTATCATTCTCTCCCATTCTGTGTTTATGATCCTGTGTTTAACGTTCTCTCCCACCCTGTGTTGAACATTCTCTCCCATTCTGTGTTTATGATCCTGTGTTTAACATTCTCTCCCATTCTGTGTTTATGATCCTGTGTTAAACGTTCTCTCCCATTCTGCGTTGATGATCCTGTGTTTAACGTTCTCTCCCACCCTGTGTTGAACATTCTCTCCCATTCTGTGTTTATGATCCTGTGTTTAACGTTCTCTCCCATCCTGAGTTGAACATTATCTCCCATTCTGTGTTTATGATCCTGTGTTTAACGTTCTCTCCCATCCTGAGTTGAACATTATCTCCCATTCTGTGTTTATGATCCTGTGTTTAACGTTCTCTCCCATCCTGAGTTGAACATTCTCTCCCATCCTGCGTTTATGATCCTGTGTTTAACATTCTCTCCCATCCTGTGTTTATGATCCTGTGTTTAACGTTCCCTCCCACCCTGTGTTGAACATTCTCTCCCATCCTGTGTTTATGATCCTGTGTTTAACGTTCTCTCCCACCTTGTGTTGAACATTCTCTCCCATCCTGTGTTTATGATCCTGTGTTTAACGTTCCCTCCCACCCTGTGTTTATGATCCTGTGTTTAACGTTCCCTCCCACCCTGTGTTTATGATCCTGTGTTTAACGTTCTCTCCCACCCTGTGTTGAACATTATCTCCCATTCTGTGTTTATGATCCTGTGTTTAACATTCTCTCCCATCCTGTGTTTATGATCCTGTGTTTAACGTTCCCTCCCACCCTGTGTTTATGATCCTGTGTTTAACGTTCCCTCCCACCCTGTGTTGAACATTCTCTCCCATTCTGTGTTAAAGATCCTGTGTTTAACATTCTCTCCCACCCTGTGTTGAACATTCTCTCCCATCATGTGTTTATGATCCTGTGTTTAACGTTCTCTCCCACCCTGTGTTGAACATTCTCTCCCATCCTGCGTTTATAATGCTGTGTTTAACGTTCTCTCCCATCCTGAGTTGAACGTTCTCTCCCATCCTGTGTTTATCATCCTGTGTTTAACATATCTCACATTCTGTGTGTATGTCCTGTGTTTATCACTCTGTGTTTACCATACTGTGTTTACCACACTGTGTATATTACCCTGTGATCACCTCCTCTGCTGCACAGAGCTCTGGGGCTGGACATGCACTGTATTGAAGCCATGCGGTTCACTGGGCTTCAGTGGCTGTGTCGGGACGGAAACGCAGCAGAGGTAACTAACTATACACAGTATGACATGGAAATGACATCGCGAAAAGGAAACAATATGTGTCAATAAATACAAATGAAATCAGAGACGATTTTCGCAATGTCAAGCACAACGTTTTTCTTCATGATTGATAATGTTCTTTAGCACAGTCTACCAGTATGTTTTATTTATTTTAGTTAACATATTTATGTTGATCTTGTTGATAAGATAATAATGAAATGTAGGTGGGGGGTGTTTTACTAAATTGGACTCTCACATTTCTCGTCCTTGTTAGATCTTGTTATCATTGTAATGGTGTGTATCTCTCTAGTGATGACAGTCACAGCAGCAGTCAAAGATAAGCCAACATGATTCATAAGTTGTGTTTATCATGTTCAAGTCGAATTCTGTAATGTGTTGGAGGCAGTGTAATGTTCCTTGCTATTGAATTGACATGTTACTAAAATTGTTGCTAAACAGTATTACTCATATCAGTTTCATTGTCATATGTTTGTGGACAACAAATGTTTTTACATTTGTACTTTTCACAGATTTGTATCAGAACTTTCTTCGTTAAGCGAAAGTTCTCCATGGCATGTCTATGTATCCATGACACTTTTTATGGAAAGCAGCTACTGTTATTCTTTGTCACAACGTTTTAGAGCTACTTCTTGCTACTTCATCTGGTGAGGGGCGGTTGGGTAGCCTAGTGGTTAAAGCGTTCGCTCGTCACACCGAAGACCCGGGTTCGATTCACAACATGGGTACAATGTGTGAAGTCCATTTCTGGTGTCCCCCGCCGTGATATTGCTGGCATATTGCTAAAAGCGGCCTAAAACCAAACTCACTCACTCACTCCATTACTGCTGAACTAGGAAAATCACTCTCTCTCACTCACTCACTCACTCACTCACTCACTCACTCACTCACTCACTCACTCACTCACCAGGTGAATGCCCTGTAAGGGAATAGAGTACTGTATTTATATATGAATCGTGATGTTTACACAACAGATAACAATATAATGACGAAGCCGATGACATAGGATTTATGTACAAAGATAACAAGATCATAATAAGGCCAGTCAGAATAAAGGATAAAAGAAGGTACTATCCATAAAAAGTGTCATGTATTCATGTTCTCCCAACTTCTAAATGCCTAGCAAGGCCAAGCATGTCTGAACTCACCCTCATACATGCATGTACATCTCTCAATGTCTGTGTTGTAGGCTGCCAGTGTCATCGGTGACTTGATCACCAACATGGACAGATTTGAACCCCGCAACGCCTACCTCTACTGCAACATGGCCCAAGTGTTTGTCCGCCTGGTAGGTACCACCAGTAGTGCTAAGACTTAGCACTAAAACTTTGATACAGCTTCAATCTTATCTGATTTTATGACGCGTGAAGATCCGGGGTAGAATAGGTCTTCAGCAACCCATGCTTGCTGTAAAAGGCACTATGCTTGTTGTAAGAGGCAAATCACGGGATTGGGTGGTCAGGCTCGCTGATTTGGTTGATGCATGTTACATATCCCAATTGTGTGGATCGATGTTCATGATGTCAATCACTGGAATGTCTGGTCCGGACTCAATTATTTACCGACGGCTGTCATATAGCTGCAGTATTGCTGAGTGCGGCATAAAACAACAAACAAACAAACCAATGTGATTTGCAGCCTTAAGGTCAGTTTCAATTTTTATTGAAACACTGATTTAAGAAAGCATGGTCAAGGCTGTGCAAAATTTGTTTTCAAATTCTACTGTTGATGTTGATTGTTGTGTAACGCCACACACTATCTACCTGAGGAACGCCTGGCCAGCATTATCATTTGCAGAAGCCCTCGGTCTGTTCAACTGCCCTCCTTCGCTGCATAGTTAATAGCAGACCTCAGGCTTCTGCAAATGATAATGCCCTGAATAATATTGCTACCCTTATACCCATAACATAACTTCTGACATGCTGTGGCATATCTGAATCCTGTTCCCAGCGACATCAGACTGGTTCCCGGCCTGTTTCGGGGGCACAGGTGGCCCAGTCATCAAAGGTGCAGAGTTGTGTCCCTTAGGATGCCAGAAACCTGATTGTGAATTCATATGCTGGTTCGCCTTGATTATGTTTCTAGGTTTGTCAGCACCATACCCGTGCTCATGGCTTTCACCAAAGTGGTAAATGTCGAAGACCTGCATCACTTCAGGCTTTCCTCCCGCATCAAGCTGACATGCCGTAATATTACTGGAATACTTTTAAAGGCTGTGTCAAACCCAACTCACTCATTCCCTGCCTGTTTCAGAGCGGTCGTAATGCACTAGTTCTGCAGCAGTGCCACACACTGACAGAGAGAGCTGTAAGTATGGAGGGGAACAATGCGGATTATGTGAACGAGATGGGGTACCAGCTGCTGCTGCAGGGCAAGGTGAAAGAGGCCATGAAGTGTTACCGGAACGCCATGAAGCTGGATGAGACCAGCGTTGCTGCCCTCACAGGTACGTCAGCCTCCATTCTCATTAAAATCAGATCTTAGTTCTCGCTATTGCTTAAACAAAGATCTGAGGACATCCCATTACGGGTCACGTCAGCCCGACCTTGCACGAATTTTGACCGACCAATGGAAGGACTGACAACAAGTGAACATTAGCCAATCAGAAGGCAGCTTTCTGGTGCTTTACGGCACTGATTTCAAATTGGCGACTACGCTTCAAAACATATTTTGACAAATTCTCTACTAAAAGTTTGAAACCTGAACAAAAGAACATTCTGGAATGGCAAATATATGGTCTAGATTGTATGGATTCAGTCGTTAAACCCGTAACTATCATTCGGAATACCCCGTGTTAAAGTTTTCGAGATTGCATGATTAGAAATCACATTCCGACTCTCACTTTCATGATCTGGTAAGCAACGCTCTGATTGGTCGGATGAAAGGTCGTTTTGACGTGACCCCTCATGAGATGTCCTCAGATCTTTGTTTAGCGGTAGCGAGAACCAAGATCTGATTTTAGTGAGATTGGTCAGCCTCATAAAACTTGTATTGTCAGTTTGTTTGTTGTTTAACGCCACACTCAGCAATATACCTGCTATATGACGGTGGTCTGTAAATAAATAAATCTGGACCAGATGATAATTGCTGTCCAGTGATTGACACCATGAGCATCGATCCACGTATTTGGGATACGATGGCATGCATCAACCAAGTCAGTGATCCTGACCACCTGATCCCATTAGTGGCCTTATACGACAAGCATAGTTGCCTTTTACAGCAAGCATGGGTTGCTGAAGACTATTCTACCCCGGATCTTCACGAGTCTCATAGAACTTGGAGTAGAATGTACAGGTATCATGCACTTGCGAATAAAGAAGTTGTTGTCCATAGATTGTGTCAACTTTGTAATACACCAACTTCTAAGCAATGCCACTCAAACAAATCATGGACATGCACAGATATTAGTTCTTGTTGTTTGTTGTTTAACGCATCACTCAGCAATATTCCAGCTATATGATGGCAGTCTGTAAATAATCGAGTCTGGACCAGACAATCCAGTGATTGACATCATGAGCATCGATCCACACAATTGGGATACGATGACATGCATCAACCAAGTCAGCGAGCCTGACCACCCGATCCCGTTAGTCGCCTCTTATGACAAGCACAGATATAAGTATAAAGTACATGTAAACAATATGTTTACCTACCCGCATGGATGGTTAAGTGTCAGCATGTTGACGTACAGACTGTGTCCCTCCCTGCAGGTATTATCCGGTGTCAGCTGATCGAGAACCATGTTGAGGAAGCTGCCCAGCAGCTGGAGTTCCTCAATGAGATTCAACAGAGTATAGGAAGATCACCGGTAAGCTTTTAGTAACCCTGGACTGACATACCACAATTTGAGTTGTGTCCCTTTATTGTGCCAAGAATTGCTGATGGTTGGATTGAATCCAAAATTTGTGTTTTTGTCTTCAGTTTGTCAGCATTCAAAAGTAACAAACAATTTCAATAATAAACATGTTTATTAGAGGGCAAACATATCGGGGTTCATAAAAATCATATATGCTCTAGGGTCATATCAAGTCACGAGACAACAGTGTATTGTTTCCGTCATCCAGACGGCAATTCTGATGGCATTCGAATCTTATTGTGACGTTAGATCGGAATGATGTCACACTAGAGACAACGTTGTAGCTGAAGATTGTTGACGTCATTCGACATATTGTGATTCCACTGCTGTTGCGACTTGCTGTCCATATAGGTAAACACTAAAATTCGTCTCTTAACGTAGACATCTTCTTCGGTACTAAATAGAACATTATATGAGTATTCATGTCATACTATGTTTATGACACACTTGCCCAAATTCCGGTATTTAGACACTCATAACGTAAACATAGTATGACATGAACACTCATATAATATCCTCTATATATTTATGCTCATTCACAACCTGTGTGACTTAGATATTTTTACACATGAAGCTGTAAGATGTGATGGAACAATTACATTTTCACAGTAAAACCAAACTTTGTTCCAGGAATTGGCCTACTTGAGTTCGGTTCTGGCTAGGAAGAAGAACAAAGGCCCAGAGAAAGTGATGGAGCTTCTCAATGAGTGTATAGAGTTGCATTTCTCAGCACTCAAGGTAGGCTACAGGAAGCTGTCTGTGTTCTTCTCAGTTGTTTCGGGAGAAATTTGTTGATTTTTACATCTCACTTTTAGAACTTGTTGGGATTGTGGGACAGGGCCCTATTCCACAAAGTAATCTTAGCGCTTAGACGATCGTAACTCCCATACTTTAACATAGGTTGACAAGTTGCAGTGCTAAGATGATCATAACTGCCATACTTTAACATAGGCTTACAAGTCGCAGCGTAAGATTGATTTGTGGAACTGGGCCCTGAACAGGTTTGTCTGGCTGGTTGTGTGTCTTCTTACCCCTATGGTGTGTATCGTTGCTCATGATATCAGTCACTGGTTTGTCTGACCAAGACTCAACTATTTACAAGGCTTCATGACATGGCTGTTATGTTGTCAACTGTGGCATATAAAACCCCATGATTGACCTGAATCTACATGATCTATATTTGTTTGAATGTCAGGGACTCTCAGTGGTAATTGTTGGGTTTCCAAGGTATGAACATAGTCGACCCAGGCTTGCACGACATCTGTCACACTTCACGTGATATACTAAACATCGCATATGCCTCTGGATGCCTCAAGCCTATTATTGATGCCGATTACAATTTTAGATTGAAGAAAATGAACCATTGGGACCCTCATCATGCTCATGCTCTGTGTTTTTAGCGGGGGGCACGGGTGACCCAGTCGTCTAAGGTGCCGCGATTTGCTGTGCAGAGTTGCGTCCCTTGGGCACGCCAGAAACCTATGATTGTGGATTCGAATCCCGATTCGCCCCGATTATGTTTCCAGGTTTGTCAGCACCATACCCATGCTTGTGGGTTTCACTGAAGTGGTAAACTTCTGAGACTTGCATCACTTCGGGCTTTCCTCCCACATTAAGCTGACACGCCATGATATAACTGGAATACTGTTAAAAGCGGCGTTAAACCCAACTCACTCACTCACTTATAGAGCTTTTAGCATATTTCTAACCATAATCGATAGTTATCTGCAACATTGAATCTATTTGACCAGATCTAATGAATCCACCAGACATACATTTTTGTATTTGACTCACAATGTAAGTTATATGCATCCATTCTCAGTTTGTATATGTGTATGATGCTATAGTTTGTGTCGGGACTGGTTGATGTGCATCCTGTGATTGTCTTCCTCCAGGGACTGCCACTTGGTGTCCAGTACTACCTCCTGCTGAACCCCGACTTCCTCCTCGAGGTCATCAAGGACTACCTCCAGTATGCTCCTCAAACGGTAGGCACCAGCAGTGTCACTAAACATTACAGTTATTATCCCCCGCTCGAAGTGCTGTCGTCCGTCCGTCAGATTTCGTTTCTGGAGCAGAACTAATAAACCAGGACAGATATTTTAACCAAACATGGCACAAAGATAGGTCTAGTGGTGAACTGGTGCCATTTGATAGTTTGGGATTTTTTAAACCAATTATTTTTCAAGTTTCCATGGCAACGACTTTGACTTGGTGTTATTGGTGTGGGATATGAGTACATTTTGTGTATTTCATGCTTGTTCATGATTTTTGTAATGATAGGAGTCTTCCTAACGTCATTGTCACAGAAACACTTGCAAATATACATGACTTTATATCTGTGTATACACGTGGAATAGTTCAGTTTCCTATATGTGTAGAGAGCCATACATGTTTCGTCACCATGGTAGTGTTATACAGGAATGATGTTTCACCATCATGACTATGTTGCAGCCTATAGTGACTGGTCAGCCCATCAACCCAGTGCTGAAGAGGTGTCACCAAGTGCTGGACCCACTCACCAGGGCAATCCCTGGCCTCATGGAGGCGGTGTATCTCATTGGCAAGGTCAAGTTCCTCGCAGGTTGGTGCTTTCCCAGTCTTCCTCTTGACCTGAAGCCCTCATTACACTATCAAAACTTTGATGAAAAAATTGGTGCCTTCAATGCTCTTCTCCAAGAGATGGATAGATTCCAGTGCCTATGTCAACTATCTAAGAATGAACAAGGAAATATTAAGGATTCTTCTTGAAAAAGTGAGAACATACAGGTTGGACACAAGACTAAGGCTTTCTTGCATTCTGAGTGGCTAAATTACATCAAAGTTTGTTCAAAGTTTTGATGAGAAATAGGATCGGTTTCTATTCCATCAAAGACTGTCAAAAACAATATATTACACTATCAAAAAAAAATTGGTCAAAATGGACTTTCACCAAGTTTTTGATAGTGTAAAGCCCCTGTTAGATACAGGCTGTTCTGCAGCCAAGTAATCGGGGAGACAGGAACATGTAGAATGAGTATGCACCTCAAACAGTCGGTTCATTGCATTACCATGTAGCCAATTAGCAATGGATGAATTCTTTATTCAGGGTGGGAAAGGAAAACTCTGAACTCCTTCTGACTTCTATAGCATTTATGTACGTCTCTCAACATGCTATGGGAGGGGGGCGGGGGTGGCCCAGTCATCTGAGACGCCGCGATTCCCTGTGCAGAGTTGCGTCCATTGGGCACACCAGAAGCCTATGATTATGGGTTCGAATCCCGGTTCGCCCCGATTATGTTTCTAGGTTTGTCAGCACCATACCCGTGCTCGTGGGTTTCACCGAAGTGGTAAACATCTGAGACCTGCATCACTTCAGGCTTTCCTCCCACATTAAGCTGACACGCCGCGATATAACTGGAATACTGTTAAAAGTGGCGTTAATCCCAACTCACTCACTCACACACACACACACTCACTCACTCACTCACTCACTCACTCACTCACTCAACATGCCATTACACAGCCATGTGTGCTTGTCGACTCGGCGATTGAGACACACAGACAGACTCGCTACGTCGCATACAAAGTTAGTTCTAGCAACTTGTGATATCGGTAGTTGCGTATCTTGGGTATGTTGAAACAAAAAGCCATGGAGATAGGTAAACTGATTCATCATCATCAAAACCAAAATCACGGGCAATAAAAGATCGACTTTGTGATAAACACACCCTTTTTTGTGTCAATCTGGACAGGGACGAGTACATAGTGGTGATATATCCACACAATCTGGTGAACAGGGACAAACGTTTCACACTACCCATACAAGACACATCTTCCCGAGGCAAGGAAGTTAACTGACTGTAAAAGTCCATTTTCTACCCTTGCTGAACTAGGCTGGAATTCCAGGTTACTTTTTGGCTGGACTAACTAGTCTGCATAGTCCAATCAAAATTGTGTTACAAACTAGACATCCGGTTCGTAAACAACATAGATTTCAACGTGCAGATTTCGGTCGACTACAGGATTTTCAAAGCATGTGTATGTCACCTGGGCTTTGACAAATATTTTGCAAATCTTTTCAAGCTTTTAATCAAGGTGTTCAAGTGATTTGATGCACTTCGTGGGGTAAGACCCATCTTATGACAATACAGATCTTGATTATCGATCAGATCTTCTTGACTGGGCGCCGCCATTTGTTTGAAGAAAGTGCAAGTGATATGAGAGGTGGAATCTGATTGGTCAGCAGGAGGGACATAGAAGGGACATAACTCGTAATAGCAACTTGTGGTGCTATGATTAAGCCTGGAAATTCGAGCCTAGTTCGGCAAAGGTTCTATAGTCAGTTCACCAGAACAGCTTCAAGCTTGCCAACCAGTCCCTGGAAGTGGGACTCAGCTGTTCATGTTTTTGTGATTATGTTGCTGATGTTTTTCCAGGAGACATAGACGCAGCTCAGGCCACGTTACAGCACTGCCTGGACCAGGATGCTACCTTCTCCGACGCCCACATCCTCATGGCTCAGGTAGACATTGCCCCCAGCTGGGAACAGCACATGGGCTGATCGGCTTGTCAGTGTGCATTCAGTTTGTATTCTCAGCTCCCTGAGGAGTATTGCATGTAATGTATCATTATATTAGGAATCAGTGAGCCAAGCTGCCTGGCAATCTGCGATAAAAAAGATTGGGATAAAGGGTTTCTCCTTAAACAGAGTTCAAAATTAAGGGGTGTCAGTGAGGTTTGCTCCCAGAGTATATGAATCCGAGGTCCCCTAAATCTTGAACATTCAACATGAAGGCAATAGAAAGGACCCCTTTGAAATTCATGCTTAATTTTGATCACTGATAAAGTAACATAAGTATGTTTGAATACCTTTATTAGAAAGTGGATGCCCCCGTGAAGAACCGTGTAAGAATTGGTCTTCAGCATCCCATGCTTGTCATAAGAGGCGACTAACGGGATCAAGTGGTCAGATTTGCTGACTTGGTTGATGCATGTCATCATATCCAAAATGCATAGACCATGATGTCAACAGTGGATTGTCTCGTCTAGACTTGATAATTTATAGACCTCCATCACATAGGAATATTGTGGAGCCCAGAGTTAAACAACAAACAAAGAAAGAAACAAAGAGAAAGTGGAGGATTATAAATACTGTGCATGAGTCTGTGTGCATCGGTTGTAAGACATATGTAATTGTATATTACAGATCCATCTTCACCAGGACAACTTCAAGCTTGCCAACCAGTCCCTGGAGGTGGGCCTCAGCTACAACTTTGAGGTACAGGCTTTCACTCATCATGTTGTATGTTGCTACACAGGTGGACAAGTTATCATTCAACATTGTCTGAATGTCCCAGAGTTTGATGAAATCAGTCTAAAGTCATGAAACTTGGCTCTTGCATATAGACTTGTTTGTCCTACTTCTTTTTGTGTGGAATTCGTGGAATGAATTCTGTTTGACAGCATGTGACGTTATTTGCTCAGTTTACTTCAGATGTAATACATGGTAATTGTTTGGGAACATGGTTTCTGACACATGGTTATCTACACATGCTTATGGAAACATGCTTATTGACACATGGTTACTGACACATGGCTATTGACTCATGGTTCTTGACACATGGTTACTGACACATGGCTATTGACACATGGTTATGGAAACATGGTTATTGACACATGGTTACTGACACATGGCTATTGACTCATGGTTATTGACACATGGATACTGACACATGGCTATTGACACATGGTTATCAACAATGGCTACTGACACATGGTTACTGACACATGGCTATTAACACAGGGTTATCAACAATGGCTACTGACACATGGCTATTGACACATGGTTATCAACAATGGCTACTGACACATGGTTATTGATACATGGCTTTCAACACATGGTTATCAACAATGGCTATTGACACATGGTTATTGATACATGGCTACTGACACATGGTTATCAACAATGGCTACTGACACGTTTATTGACACATGGTTATTGATACATGGCTACTGACACATGGTTATCAACACATAGCTACAGTCACACTGCTGTGGTGAAGCCCATCTTGACAAAGTGGATGTTCTTAGTGTGACCTTGTGTGTGATGCTGTATGTTGCTAGGTTCGAGACCACCCTTTGTACAACCTGATCAAAGCCCGCATTCTCAAGAAGCAGGGAGATCACGCAGAGGCTGTCAAGACACTACAGATGGCCATGATTCTTCCGGGGGTCAAAACAACAGGTAGATATTTAGTTGATAATAATCAGAACAAAATACTTGTATAGATATGATGAGTTATGTGTTAACTGCCACAAGTGAATGTATCTCCCATGTCAATGTCATGGACTTACAGGGCGATCAGGTAGTCTAGTGGTTAAAGTGTTTGCTAGTCGTGCTGAAGGCCTGGGTTCAATTCCCCTCATGGGAACACTGTGTGAAGACTACTTGTGTCCCACGCTGTGATATTGGTGGAATATTGCTAAAAGCGATGTAAATACGCTCGCTCACTCGCTCAATCACTCACTCTCACTCACTCACTCACTCACTCACTCACTCAACCACTCAACCACTCACTCAATCAACCACTCAACCACCCACCCACCCACCTACCCATTCACTCACTCACTCACTCACTCAACCACTCAACCACTCACTCAATCAACCACTCAACCACCCACCCACCCACCTACCCATTCACTCACTCACTCACTCACTCACTCACTCAACCACTCAACCACTCAACCACTCACTCAACCACTCAACCACTCACTCAACCACTTAACCACTAACTCAACCACCCACCCACCCACCCATCCACCCACCCAAACTCCACTGGTTTGCATTATTTACCTATAGACTATCATGATGTACCTTGAACATTGCTGACTGCAGGGTTCAGCAAGATGCACTTGAAGTTGTTTTGTTTCCAGGCTTAAACTCCTGCAGATGTCATTGTGTTGGTAATGAAGAGATCATCCTACTGTGTTTTCAATGTAGAGTCTAGGTTACCTCAAGATTTTACCATGCTAATGAATTTGGAACCGAATGCTCGGTTTCAAGTGTTTATTTTCAGCATTTGAGATCTAATGTAGCTGTGTTTGTTACAGTAACTAGTAACAAAGCAACTCACCAAGCAATATTTCATATTCTGATTTGTATTGACCATACACTATCTGTCTGTTGCAGGCAAAAGCCAATCAGCAAAGAAGGTCAAGGCTCAGCAGATCAGTGTCAATGACAGAGTGTCTGTATTCCTGGAGCTTGCTGAAGCTCACCGACTTCTCGGAGAACAGGTGGGCCTCATCCTGTCCTGTCTTCGTCATGTGGACTGATGCATTGTAATCTCAAGGAATAGGTCTTCAGCAAGCCATGCTTGCCGTAAAAGGCAACTGTGCTTGTCGTAAGTGGCGACTAACGGGATCGGGTGGTCAGGCTCGCTGACTTGGTTGATGCGTGTCATCATATCCCAATTGCTTGGATCGATGTTGGTGATGTCAATCACTGGATTGTCTGGTCCAGATTCAATTATTTACAGACCACTGTCATATCGCTGGAATATTGCTGAGTGCGGCATTAAGCAACATACCAACCGTCCAGCTCATTATATCTTGTACACCCCACTAGGATCATTTGTAACTCAATCTTCTGAAGCAACAATCCAAATCAGTGGGGTTCAGGAATCACACAGTTCATGACAATGTTTACTCCAGAGAAATGTTGATTTTTGTTAAGTTTTGTAAGTGTATCCTTCAAACAAGTAAACATTCTTTGACATGATATTAAAAACGCACAAGTTTAAGTGTTGGCCCCAGTTGGTACATTGTGTGAAACTGATTTCTGATTCCCCCGACATAATATGGTTTGAATATTGGCAAAACACAATATAAAACACTACTCACTCACTCACTGTCTGACATAACTGAGATACTCTTATATCATCCTCCATTCAGCATGAAGCGGCGAAGGTGATGCAGGACGCCATCAACGAGTTCCAAGGAACAGCGGAGGAAGTGAGGATTGCCATCGCTAACGCTGACCTGTCCCTGGCACGTGGGGACATAGAGCTGGCACTGGGCATGCTCAGAAACATCACGCCAGATCAGCCGTACTTTGTGCAGGCCAGGGAGAAGATGGCCGACATATATCTCAACCACAGGAAGGACAAGCGGCTGTATGCAAGCTGTTACAGGTTGGTTTGCTTAACAGGTGCCATGGGAACCAATCTTCCCGAGGCAAGGGCGTTTACTGACTGTAAAAGTCCAGTTTCCACCTTTGATGAACTAGGCTGGACTAACAAGTCTATGCACAGTCCAGGCAAAATTGCATTATGAACGAGACATCCAACTCGTAAACAACATGAATTTCAACATGCAAATTTCAGTCGCCTCCAGGATTTGCAAAGCATGTGTACCACCAACTGGGCGTCGATTGACATTTTGAAAATCTTTTCATGTTTTTCATCAAGGTGCTCAAGTGATTTTATGTACTTCGCGGGGTATAACAATATTGATCTTGATTATCGATCAGATCATCTTGAATGGGCACCACCATTTTGTTTGAAGCAAATGGATGTAATATGAGAGATGGAATCTGAATCCTGGAAATTTCAGCCTAGTTCAGCAAGGGTGGAAACTGGATTTTATTGTCAGTTAACTCCTTTGCCTTGGGAAGATGTGGGAACCAGGGTTAGAAAAGGTCCACAGCACTATTCTGCTTGTCATACAGGGTGACTAAACTACCCTGATGGGATCTTTCTCATAATATCAATCACTGGATGAGTGAGAAATTGCTCCGAGTATCGATCACTGGATTGCTGGTCCATTATTTACAGGCCGCTGTGATGTAGCTGGAATATTGCTGACAGCAACATAAACATGTGCTTGGCATGATTATCTGGGCCTGAACACATCACTTTAGCCCCCTTTGAGTATCTGGGGTAGAATAGGTCTTCAGCAACCCATGCTTGCCATAACCCATGCTTGCCGTAGGTAACTATGCATGTCGTAAGAGGCGACTAACGGGATCGGATGGTCAGGCTTGCTGACTTGATGCATGTCATCGTATCCCAATTACGTGGATCAATGCTGATGACATCAATCACTGGATCATCTGGTCCAGACTCAATTATTTACAGGCTGTCATATAGCAGGTATATTGCTGAGTGCAACGTTAAACAACAAACAAGCAAACAAACATACATCATGTTAGAGTTTAATTGTTTGAGTGTTGCTTGTGTTTGCTACTAATGCTGCATGTGATGTGTTCTTCAACCAACCACTAGATCAGGTCGTCATGTCCCTTTCAATCTACATGAGTCGACCAATGCCTCTGTTTCAGGGAACTGGTGGACAAGTACCCCAGTCCACACACCAGCTTGTTGCTAGGTGACGCCTACATGAGTATACAGGAGGTGAGTCCAACAGTCTTGTTTGTAGAAGGTCCCCAAATCGGGTATCGATACCATTTTCACTGTATACCCACATAACATTTTTCGAGGCTCACTTCTTTTCGACAGTTTTCTTCTAAACAATATGTAACCACACTCTTAATGACATAATCAAGGTTGATGTTTCAAAGCTAACTTAAGACATCAAAGTGTGTGCCACCTGTTGCTGAAGTTATGTTACGAATTAAGCTAAAAAGGTAAGATCTTCATTAAGTGACGAAAACATACATGAAAACTTACTCTCTCACAAATGCACATTTTTATCAAACTTGATTTGAGGCTTATTTTGAATGAGAACAATCATCTGCACCAATGATGTTTCGGCTGCTGTTCTAAACTTCCTGTCTGTAATGTCATGTGACTGATCGGGGCGGTCGGGTAGCCTAGTGGTTAAAGCGTTTGCTCGTCACACCAAAGACCCGGGTTCGATTCCCGACATGGGTACAATGTGTGAAGCCCATTTCTGGTGTCCCCCGCCGTGACTTTGCTGGAATATTGCTAAATGTGGCATAAAACCATACTCACTCACTCATGTGACTGATCGTGTTTCGGATCTATCTTTAACTTGACTGTCATGGAGTGGCTCGAAATCAGGTGACTGTAACAAGATGGCACCTGATTGACTCGTCTTGTTTGGCAAAGCATTATCACGATTATATTGACAAGATGTTGTCATTTTGACTATCCACTTGTAGACAGAATTAAATGTTCTCAAAGGTAAGCCTTAATCTTAATGTATTTTACTTGCTAATGTTTGATTGTTATTAGACACGTAATGAGCAATTCTTCTTAGGGGCTCGAAAACACAGTACACAAGGATATGAGCACCCTGCTCCATAAAGCACCCATGACCAACTTTTAGATCAGTCTCTAAGTAACCTCTGTAAGCCCAGGTATTTTTGCATCTATTTTCAGATCTTTTTACAGTAAACACAAAAGTGTTGATAGAATTTGTAACTGCCTAGAAACTATTATGAAAAACATTTTAGTTTCATGGACGTTTGAACTAATTCTGTTCTCTGCCGCTGGATCTCTGACAACAAATCTAACTTGTGTAAGGTTGATTTCCTAAGTGCCATGGGTGCTTATTACGGCAAATATGGTAGGCATATATACCCAGTATCACAGGCATGTTATACAAAGTGACTACCAGGGTATAGGACGTCCACAGTTGATGCTGATTTTGGGTAGTCCTCCATGGATGAATGCTTTGAAAGAAATGATAACAACAGAAATATATCTTTCGTTTAATGGCATTTGGAAGTCGTCACCAAAGGAGACAGGTTTGACTTTGGGTTTTCAGCTTCTGTGTTCTTTCAGTGTGATGTTTTGGTACAGGCTCTAGTACGATCGTCAAGCAGTGTTTGATGAATTTGATATGTCAGCATTCACAAAATATGGGATGATGTGGATATTGTACATATCAATACCTCTACCAGACCATGTTTACTGGACTGAGATAATTTCCTAGCCAATTTGGTCTGTGTATTCACAGGTTCCCACATGTGCAATTCAAAGTTTTCTTAAGCCACCAAAGTATTTGTTGTCTTTTGCATTTGTTGTAGGACCCGTGAAGATCCAGGAGAATAGGTCTTCAGCAACCCATGCTTGCCGTAAGAGGCGACTATGGTCGTCATAAGAGGCAACTAATGGGTTCGGGTGGTCAGACTCACTGACTTTTTTGATGCATGTCATCGTATCCCAGTTGCGTGGATCAATGCTCATGGTCTCAATCACTGGATTGTCTGGTCCAGACTGGATTATTTACAGACCGCTGTCATATAACTGGAATATTGCTGAGTGCAGCAATAAACAACAAACAAAGAAAAAAAATGGAATGAGATAATGTCTATGCCAATTTGGTCTGTGTATTCTCACATTCCCATATTTGAAATTCATATTATACAAAGCCACCACAGCAATTGTTGATTGCTACATACATCTGTTGCAGCCTGAGAAAGCCATTGAGGTGTATGAGTCTGCCCTGAAGAAGAACCCCCGAGATGCTGCCCTGGCCAGCAAGATCGGTCAGGCGCTGGTCAAGACACACAACTATGGCAAGGTAATGAATGGTGTTTCTTGGGCCAGTGGATAGCCTAGTTGTTTAAGCATTAGCTCTTCTCTCCAAAGATCTTGGTTCTATTCCAAATGATAGCCATTTTTGTCCTAAATGTCCTGGAATATTGTGAAAACCAGCATCCCACCCTGCCGGATACTGCAGTAGATCTCACTTTGTTGACTGCCTCAGTGGTCTTGTGGATAGAGGTCCATGACAGCAGAAGGTCCCCGGCAGTTTTGTTTAGTGGTAGAGCGTCCGCCCGGTTAGCAGAAGGTCCGGGGTTTGATCCCCGGCCGCGTCCTACCAAAAGACGTTAAAAGATTGTACTTGTTGTTACCCTGTCTGGCGCTCGGCATAAAGGGGCTAAAACAAGGACTGGTCGGCTCGGAGTCAGTATACTGTGTCTGAGTGGGGTATTCATGTTAAACTGCAACATGGTATCTCAGTGAGCTATCACGATAAATCGGCATCAGTCCGGACTAGTATAAGCAGCCACACACACACGTGCATGCACGTCGCTATATAAGTGCAATAATCTTGGATGCGACGTTAAACCCAATTTCACGTCACCTCACCTTATTCCAAAAGACTTTTAAGGAGGGTACTTCATGTTACCCTGCCTGCTGTTCGGCATTAAGGGGCTAAAACAAGGACTGGTGAGCTAGGAGTCAGTATACTGTGTCTGTGTGGGGCATCCATGTTAAACTGTGGCATGGTGTCTCAGTGGGCTGGCACTATAAAACCAGCATTAGTCTGCACTACTACAAGCAGCCACACACACACATGCACATCTCTGTATAAGTGTAATAATCTTGAACACGGCATGAAACCTCATTCAACAACTCCTCACCTCTACATGGGGGCACGGGTGGCCCAGTCGTCTAAGGCGCTGCGATTCGCTGTGCAGAGTTGCATCCCTTGGGCATGCCAGAAACCTATGATTGTGGGTTCGAATCCCGGTTCACCCCGATTGTGTTTCTAGGTTTGTCAGCACCATACCCGTGCTCGTGGGTTTCACCGAAGTGGTAAACGTCTGAGACCTGCATCACTTTGGGCTTTCCTCCCACATTAAGCTGACACGCCGCGATATAACTGGAAATTTTTTAACTTATCCTGCATTACTCCGTATTGCATTTACTGCTATGTTTGACAGAGAGACGAACTGTGTGAGATCCAGCTGCTGAAGAAAGTTGTCCCAACCAGCCCAGGAGGCAGCGCCCTCTCACAGTCGGCACGTGACCCGGAAGTCATGACGTCACACCAAAAGACATAACTGCTTTGTCACCTCCACGGACGGACGTACTTTGTATCCCTTGTGGAAATTAAAGCTTATTATTTGTTTTTTATATTTTGCGTGTTTCTACATTCATTATATGCTGCTACATTGTTACCTGTTATGGGCCGTGACCTTAGGGTCTTCCCATTCGTAAATTGTAACGTTTATCGCTCGTCTGTGGCTCACGTCACAGTAATTTACGGGCGCAATGTTGTTCCCGCCATTTTGTTTTCTTTCCCGCCATTTTGGTCATTCACCACGTGGCCACGTAATGTCGTGTTCTGCGTTTTGAATTCTCTCTTTGGCTTGGGTAATACATTACATTTATGTATGTTGTTTTGGTGTGCTTAAAGCCTTGCCTTTTCGCTACCTCTCATCGTAATTGTTTCTTCTCATAAACTTCAATATAATACGAAGTTTATGAGTTACATTATGTCTCCCGTACTCTGTGGTTTTGCCACATGGTTACGTGTTTGCTTAAGGCTTTGCCTTTTCGCTCCCTTTTAGCGTACTTGTTTATCTCATAAACTTTAATAAAATATACTGTTTTTGAGTTACTTTATGCTTCCCATACTTTGTGATTGGCCACACATTATGCTTCCCGCACTTTGTGGCTTTGCCACATAGTTATGTTTTGCTTAAATTCCAGATTTTCTGCCTCGCTGCACTTGTTTCCGCGGGAACAAATCTGGTCGGGGCCGCCCCTTTCTGCCGTGATTGTACGACGCCCTGTACTTTCACAAGGCAGTGCCGATGTTGCAGTCATTCGTCGCTGTGATCCTTCAGCTCATGCGAGTATCCAGGACACACCTCGCTCAACGTGCTCGTCGACCCCCACCTACGTTGACGGCAGCAGCGCTCAGCGGAGCTTCACGGCGGCTCCCAACGTAGAGTCTGCCTCCCATGGCACGACATACGACCGTTCACGGTCTCCTACTCCACCGGCGGCTCCAGCGCTCCCAACGTAGTCTGCCTCCCATGGCACGACATACGACCGTTCACGGTCTCCTACTCCACCGGCGGCTCCAGCGCTCCCAACGTAGAGTCTGCCTCCCCTGGCACGACATACGACCGTTCACGGTCTCCAACACCGTCAACGCTGATGTCTCCGGCGCCCCCGGCGCCTCCGATGACTCGGCGCCTCTGATGACACGGCGCCTCCGGCGCCTCTGATGACGCGGCGCCTCCGGCGCTTCTGATGACTCGGCGCCTCCGGCGCCTCCGATGTCTCGGCGCTCCCGGCGCCTCTGATGACGCGGCGCCTCCGGCGCCTCTGATGACACGGCGCTCCCGGCGCTCCCGGCGCTCCCGGCGCTCCCGGCGCTCCCGGCGCTCCCGGCGCTCCCGGCGCTCCCGGCGCTCCCGGCGCTCCCGGCGCCTCTGATGACTCGGCGCCTCCGATGACTCGGCGCCGCTGATGTCTCGGCGCTCAACAAGCTTCATGACTTGTTCATGACAAGCTGATGACTCGGCGCCTCCGATGACTCGGCGCCTCTGATGACTCGGCGCCGCTTATGTCTCGGCGCCTCTGATGTCTCCGCGCTCCGGCGCCTCCGCTTCCTCTGATGTCTTCGGCGCTCAACAAGCTTCAGATCAACAAGCTTTATCAAGCTCAGATCAACGAGCCGACCATCCGATCTTCTACTGCGGCTTAAGGGGCACCATCGGCAATCGCCTCCCCGGCGCCACTGCCCTCTTCTCTTGCTGCCGTCTCATAACTCGTCACACGGAGAAGCATGGTGAAACAACTGTCGCCGCTCCTTTCGCTACTCTCCCGTCGGTCTTCGGGATCGTGACTATCGTTCTACTTCCTGGGTGGAATCATTTCAACCAATAGACAGTTGGTCTGATTCAACTTGCCCACTGAGACGTTATCCATAATCCCGTCGTTTAAAGCGCTATGATTCCGGAGAGATAACCTGCGGGTTTCCATCGAAACAGAGCGTCATGTGAACAGCGTCTGTATCAGATTCGACGACGACATCCACTTACAAAGAGTTTACTTCGTCGACATCGCAGACATCAACGCTGTTCTACCCTACCCTAGCGCCAGCGTTCCTGAGAGAGACTCTTCCTCGGCGCTCCCCGGGTTTTCCACGACGCCCATGGGGTTCCGTGTTTTATCGCAAAACTCGGGTACACCACTTGATCGTCTCTCACACAGTTCATTGAGGATTGTCTGTGTGTGGAGTTTGCACCTCAGTTCCGACTCCAAGGCGGTTTTCTCGGCTACTGCGCAGAGTGATTTACATGTCACGTGTCAAGTACTCGGACTGTCAACAACTCCGACCGGATTTAGGTCAACTTACCATGGCAAGGGGTGCCATGTATTTCTACAGATTGGTTTCCATGTCTACCTGTACGCTTGGTGATACCACTCAACCAGGCGCCTGTCGCAGTCCATCCATGCACGGATGTTGGAAACAATAGACCTCCTCTACCAACACGGCTGTCACGAGGAACCTTGTTTCATCAACCCTTCGCTATAAGAACGATAGCGCCTATAGGCGTTCAAGGGATGGAAAAGATCGCCTTCCTTCGTCCGGTTTGATCTTTTCGACTACGACAGGTAGTCCTATCTTCCGCCTTGACTACCGGACACAGTGTCGATTTGATACTTAAAGTCCCTCGGCCGTCCCACTGACCCCTGTTGCATACCTGCCTCGTATCGTGTTGTCGTCCTCCATCGTCACCTCGATATAAGAACAGGAGTACTTATACGCCGCTTCAGGGATGAAAACGATCTCATTACTTCGTGCAATGGCCATATTGCCTCGACTTCCTACTACCCGGTTACGTCGATGCCCCGGCGGTCGATTGTGAAGCTGGTTTACTTCGTCTACTTGAGGTTGGCTCGCAGGCGATCACACCTTTTTTCCGAATCGTACCGACGGTACGCAATCGCAGACCCCTGTTGCTGACTACCTCCCCTGCCACCTTGTCAGTGGCTAGTGGCCCACGCCAGCCCACATTGTGACCACCTGTGATCCAGAGATCAACACCATTGGCACAGCAACAGCCTCGAGATAAATGCTTATCCAGGACGGCACTTGCTGACAGTGCATTCTCGGTCACGCCCTGTTGATCGTGTCCACTGACGACGTCACCGTAGTGTGGTGTTTGCGGACCCAGAGTTCTCGCCCCTCTCCCGGCGCCACAAACTCGACCGGCGCCCCCGAGAATCACCATCTTCGGCGTTCCAGGCGCCTCAAGCTCTCCGACGCCTCACGCTCTCCGGCGCCTCGGGCCAGACTATGTGAAACGGTCGACACCCCAACCCTAGATCTGTTTGCCTCATATCTGAATGTGGCCAGCTGTCGTCTTCCATTCCACCTGTGCCGGATACGACCGCTGTGGCAGTCGAAGCCTTCCATCGTTCCTGAGAAGGATTACGCGCGTACGCTTTTCCGACTCCGGTTCTCCCTCCCACGGTTCTTCAGAGATCCAGGCCACTCGACCCCTGCCATTGACTTTGGTCTCGCCTTATTGGTCAGCCAGAAGTTGGGTTATCGACCTCCGAAACATAGCCAGAGACAACCCCTGGAACTTCCGGTGTGGTCCAACCTTCTGCTCCATCCACACGGTCTGTTGCCACACCCTCATACCCGCATGTTATCGTCTGCACGCCTGACACACATGCAGAAAGCCAAGGGCTATTCGGCTAGAGCGACCAAGGCTATTGCTTCAGCCCACCGTCCATCTACAGGGGGACTGTATGCTGATAACTGATGCTTGTTCCAGGCATTTTGTTCTGACAAACACCAGGATCCGATGACAGCGTCACCGCAGATCCTGGATCAGTTCCTTCTGTACTTGTGTAGCACCCATCGGTTGAAGGGCTTACCACCCCCACATACCTGGTCGCCATCTACTCCGTTCTGGCCATCCCGGACGATCGGAGAAAGACGAAAATTCCCGACCTACGGGCCTGGCTGCGCTCGTTCAGTCTTGAAGACCTGAAGACCAAGTTCGGACCGCCTGCGTTGGATCTGAATGTGGTCTTCAATACCCTTCGAACCACTCCCCTCGTCTTCCTTCTTCGACCTTAAGTAGAAGACGGGTGTTTCTACTGGTTTTGACTACTGCCGCTCGAGTCCATGTACAGCACGCCCTCGACGCCTCCCATGCCCGGTTCGAATGCGGTACCCAGGGCGCCGTTCATCATGGACCGTACTGGGACGTCAGCGTAAAGATTCAACTCCCAGGACAGCCTGATAGATCATTCCTTGTCCCCTCCCCCCTCGTCCAGTGTGGGTGCCGAGGATGAGGATGAGCGTCATTATGCCCAGTAAGGGCACTGAAGGTTATTCTACGATCTAAAGACTGCCGCAAGTCTAGGAAACACCTTTTTCTGCCGGTCTCCCCTTCGTCGCTGTCGTTGGTCAGCCGGAATACTTTTCCCTGTGGCTCCGGGCGGTCATCCTTAAAGCGTATGAGCCGCCGGATTGGACCCTCCCCCCAAAGGCTATTACCTGAAATAAAATGAGATCAGGGCGATCGTATTTACACTGGTTCTTCACGGTATACTGTTCCATCCCGTCGTTCAGGGAAGCCTGCTCGTGGCGATCGGACACCGCCTTCACCAACCACTACTTCCGTGATGTAGCCTTGAAAGTTGTCGCCGGCGTTCACAGTTTTGGTCCCTGGTTGTAGCCCAACAGGTCATCTATCTCCGACGCCACTGATTCTCCGATACCCTGAGCGGGGCCCGTCGATCTTTCTGGTGTTTATCACCCCAGACGAGACGGCTCTCTTGCGTTCCGCATTCGCTCTTAGGTCAGTTTTAGTTTTGGGTTACCCGACTCATTCTATTGCTGTCACCTATCCGGGTTTTACTTTTTGCATCAACTCTCGTTTCCTGACGACAGGAATGGTAGTAGATGTGGTAACCGGCGCCGACGCCAACGCCGCTGCTTCTCTGGTACCTGAGCGGTGCCCGTCGACCTCACCGGTGTTCCTTGCCTCCAGCCTAGAGGGCTCTCCTGCGTTTCGCATTCGCTCTTGGGATTGGTCGTAGATTTTGCCGCCGACGCCGCTGATTCTTCGATTCCCCGAGCGGGGCCCGTCGAACTCTCTGGTGTTTATCACCTCAGATTAGCTCTAGGTTCTACTGCGTTTCGCTTTCGCTCTTCGGTAAGTTATATATTTTGGCTACACGCCTCATTGTATTTCGGTTACCTATTCGGGCGTTTCGTTTTTGCATCGACTCTTGTTTCCTGAAGACAGGAATGGTCGTAGATGTTCCGGTCATCACTTGTATGCGGTGCGGATTCATCGGACCTTGACGAGGGTTTAATATGGTTCACATCTGCAAGTATGCCCACCGGCCAAGCCGTCTGATAAAGATGCAATACGGAGTAATGCAGGATAAGTTAAAAAATTTAGTAAAATCTAAATATTTTTTACATTTGTATACTTATCCTGCATTACGAAGTCTAAGTTCCCTCCCTTTCGCTACGCTACCTCCCCACGAAGTTTCAGATGTTATGTTTAAAGCAGTTATGTCTTTTGGTGTGACGTCATGACTTCCGGGTCACGTGCCGACTGTGAGAGGGCGCTGCCTCCTGGGCTGGTTGGGACAACTTTCTTCAGCAGCTGGATCTCACACAGTTCGTCTCTCTGTCAAACATAGCAGTAAATGCAATACGGAGTAATGCAGGATAAGTATACAAATGTAAAAAATATTTAGATTTTACTAATACTGTTATAAGCGGCGTTAAACCAAACTCACTCACTCACTCACTCACCTCTACATGAGTGTGCTTTTCAAGCCTTGATATAGCTGGCTGTGAAGGAAATTCCATACTGTTTGATGCAAGTACTATTGTCCATATTGTTCTTATTTTTCATAATTCATTATTGATTCTTATGCACCTTTGTCGTATGTCATTGACTATGTGGATCAGGTGGTTGGGCTCGAGGACTTACTTGATTGAGTGTCATCCTCCCCGATGGCCTAGGACATTATTAAGCGTTAAGCCGACGCCCCGCCCAATATTTTTCTGCTAACCTAATATGAAACCGTATACGGAAACTAAAGACACCTTAATGAATTTATTATGCCGAAAAGTTTACGCTATTTGGTTTCTTTATCGCACATGTCCTGTCAAAATGTACCACCAGTACAAACAACAGGACCACTACATATGTTTCCGATACAACGCTTTAATGTAAACATAAACGTTGACAATGGAAAATATAATGCACTAAATGTGAATGTTTAAACAAGTATTATAGCCAAAATGGATAGAAGTTTCCTAAAAATGCCCGCATGTGATCAGAAATCTGCGGGCAACTGTAACTTGATAGCAGTCCGCTTTCCCCCAACGACGGGTTGCTAAGCAATCTATTCTATTGCTATGTGACGTCATTGGTGTCACATTTCTTGTTTGTGAAGTCATCCTATATATTATGTTCTATGGCATTGCTATTTGTAACGCAGTGACCTCCGTTGTAAGCATTTTTTCTCTATACTTCTTATAAAGTCTAATAAAGTCACGACCGTGGTTTCTTAAACATGCCCATCACAATTAATGATATTAAAACACAAAAGAGTGTCGAATAACGAATGTGAAATATGTGAGGTGGGTGTTGCAAAATTCAAAATGGCTGTTATTGACGGTATACGGTCTCATATTAGGTCAGTAGCAACCATCTTGGATTTTTACTGACAGTATACGGGCTCATGTGGGGTTAGTAATTCTGCTTTCTGATTGGTCAATCTCGCTTTGAGGCATAATAATGCTCATTATATCAATCACTGGTTTGTCTAGTCCAGACATGTTTATATACAGGCAGCCATTATACAGCTGGAATATTGAGTTTGAGTATGCCCTATATTAATATTGTGTGATATATTGCAGGCCATCAACTACTATGAAGCAGCTCTCAAGTCAGGAGGCCAGGCGTTCCTCAGGTAGATAGTGTTTGCATTTACCAGTACAAGAAGTGAGTGTGATTTCACATGATGAGTGCGTGTTTGTATTCCTTGTGGGAAATCATGGGAAATTCATCTTTGATTTCTGCCTCAGTGTTTGCAGATTCTGGAGGATACACACACAAATGTAATAATGTTTTCTTTATCCTCACTGTGTTGAAGTAGTGTCTTCAATATTGAAAACCGTCGCTGACCCCTGTCAGTATGTATTGTTACTCATGCTATCAATCACTGGTCCTTCTGGTCCAGATACATATTTTTACACCCCAGTGAAGACCTGGGTTAGAAACATGATCAGGTGGTCAGGTTCGCTGACTTGATTGATGTCTTTGTATATCAATTGTGTAGACCACCAGCATATAAATGTATTAATATTGCAGAGTGTGGTGTTAAACAACAATCACTGGATTGTCTGATCCAGACTCGATTATTTACAGACTGTCGTCATATAGCTGGAATATTGCTGAGTGCGGTGTTAAACAACAGACAAACAAACAAATAACACATCTTTTCAGGCCATTGGTGATTATTATTATTTGTGTTTCTTTCACAGATACGACCTTGCAGAACTATTGCTCAAACTACGACAATACGACAAAGCTGAGAAAGTCCTGAGACAGGCACTGGACAATGAGGGCCAAGGTGAGCAAGATTCCATCCTCCACTTTCCCCGTGAAGATTCGGGGTAGAATACGTCTTCAGCAACCCATGCTTGTCGTAAAAGGCGACTAACAGGATCGGGTGGTCAGGCTCGCTGACTTGGTTGGTGCATGTCATCGTATCCCACTTGCGTTGATCAATGCTCATGATATTAATCACTGGATTGTCTGGTCCAGACTCGATTATTTACAGACCGCCGTCATATAGCTGGAATATTGCTGAGTGCGGCGTTAAACAAAAAACCAAGCAAGCAAGCAAGCATACTCCACTTCTTTTGTACACTATTGAATATCTTAATGACTTCCTTTTAACATTTTATTGTACCTTCATCAGGTGTTGAATTCTGATCTAGATCTCAGGCAAACATGTTGTAGCATAGTTGTTACCACCCTTTTCCCTCACTGACTCATCTTGTGTGAACTGCAGACCTGGACACACTGATCGAGCACACGAGGTACCTGGTCCTCTTGGCCAAGGTGTACCAGAAGAATGACAGGATGGAGGAAGCTCTGGAGACACTCAACAAAGGCAGGGACATGCAAGCCAGGTGGGAGACTGCATCACATTACCATTGCAGTTTTGGTTTGTTTTGTTTTTGGTTTTTTTTTTCAGTTCACCTGCTACAATTATAATTGTATATAACACGATGATTGTTGTTTGTGTAGAAAGGGGGACATGGGTGGCCCAGTTGTCTAACACACCACAGTTTGCTGTGCAGAGTTGCGTCCCTTGGGCACACCAGGAACCTATGTTTGTGGGTTTGAATCCCGGTTCGCCCTGATTATGTTTCTAGGTTTGCCATCACCATGCTGCTGGGTTTCACCAAGGTGGAAAATGTCAGAGAGCAGCACTTCAGGCTTTCCTCCCTCGATACGCTGACATGACGTGATATAACTGGAGTACTGTTCAAAGTGGAATTAAACCCAACTCATTCACTCACTCACGTGGTTAAAAGTTTTATTGTATGCATGAACATAAGGAAGGGAATTTATAGATGGCAACTTCTTTATTATGAGGAACACAACTTTTCTGAGTATATGCCTACTCCTTCATCAGGTGAATGAATGCTATGAAGCAGATAGCATATATATATGTACATATAAGAACAACAAAAGTAATACCGGTAAGATAACAAAGGTGGAAACTTAACAAGGGAAGTAAGGATAAGAATTTATGGATGAACATCTTCTTTATTACAATTAAGAGCGACGTTTCAGTGTAGGTTCTAACACCGTTATCACTTGCTTGAACCTACACCGAAACGTCGCTCTTAATTGTAATAAAGAAGTTGTTCATCCATAAATTCTTATCCTTACTTAGTACTCCAACTTCTAAATGCCTATCAAAGAAGTTAACAAGGGAAGCCAACAGACAATTGGCACTGATAGGTGATTAGCAATGGACAATGGAAGCCATCACTTTCTGGTATAGTAACGGTGATAGTTGATAGTAATTGACAATGGAAGCCAACACTTTATGGTCTAGTAACGGTGATAGTTGATAGCAATGGACAACTGGAAGCCAGGGCTTAAATTATCACTGATTGGTAATAGACAACAAACAATGGGCCAACAGGACAGTAGGGGTAAGTAACATTGATAGGAAATAGAATGAAATGGCAATGAACAAATGGAAGCCAGCTGGATAATCACCACTGACACTTCTGAATGCCTTTCAAAGACTTGATTCATGAACATGTTATCCCCATGAGAATGCTTGTCACAGTATTGTGTGTATTCCAGGGTGCTGAAGAGAGTTCAGATGGAACAACCGGATGGCTACTCGGCCCAGAAACAGCTTGCTGCAGAGTAAGACTTCCTAAAGGACCATTTCCGATGTGATCAGATATAGGGCTTGCTATCGATGCAGATCATAGAGATCGATAATCATTAACTAAATATCAATCAATTATCAATAAATATTGGAGAAGTAACTTTGAGCAAATATGAAAAAAGTCCGAAAGAAATCAACACACTTCATGCCATGGGTGAGTGGTGACACATTTATGCATGGATTACTTGGTGGACGTTTGAGTTTTAACAAAAACAGTTGCTTTCAATGTTTGTCAATTGACATGAATGACAATATCAAGTCTGGTTTGGTAAATTTAAACTTTTATTTCATCGCAGTTGTTTATGTAAGATATCAATGTCACAATTTTCAAGTCCATAATCGTTAATATTTCTTCCCATCGACAATCAATCTTTTTATCCAGCCCTATCAGAATAACAAATCAGTTTGATCATAAGAGCACAAAAGCTGAAGATTCTTACCTGTTTATTGATAATCATGATAATAGTTTTGATGTCCCAAATACAAATATACACGGATTAACTATAGTCATTTTTAGAAATCGGGTGTTCTTTAACTTTTTTTGAGTAGTAAATATTACCCCAAATTTTTTGGAATATTTTAGATTTTCTATGATACGTCAGACTGATTTGATTGATTATGCGTAATTTCACCTCAGTGGTTTAAGTCTTTGCTCGTCATATCAATCACTAGATTGTCAGGGTACTGTCCCACTAAGCAATCTTAGCACTACGATTGTCGTAAGTTTATGTTACCGTATGGGAGTTACGATCACCCGAGCGCTAAGATTGCTTTGTGGAACAGGACCCTGGTTGAGTTTTGAGTATTTTCAAGCTGTGTTATAGCTGGACTATTGCCAAGCTCATCAACAGGAAACAAACACAAACAATTCTTTCAGGTCAATTAGGGGCGGTCAGGTAGCCTAGAGGTTAAAGCGTTTGCTCGTCACGCCGAAGCCCGGGGTTCGATTCCCGACGTGGTACTATGTGTGAGCCCATTTCTGGTGTCCCCGGCCATGATATTGCTGGAATATTGCTTAAAGAGGCATAAAACAACACTCACTCACTCACTCACTCCAGGCCAGTTCTCTGAATAATCCCCCTTATTTGTGCAGCATCTGCTGCCAGCTGGCACTACACTCGGCCAATCAGAGGGACTACGAGAAAGCTATCAAGTACTACAAGGATGCATTGGTCTACAACGAGAATGACAGCAAGGTGAGTAATGTCTGGATCCATGTGCACAAAGCTAAGACAATCATACCTCCATTACTTTAACTTATAAACTTATACTCAGTGTATATACTGTAATGTTACTGTGCAGGTGAGCCTTGACCTGGCTGGACTGTACTTGATGACAGAGGACTTGGATTCCTGCCAGCACCAACTGATGACTCTACTCAAGAATGATAAGGAGAATGATGCTGCTACCATTGTAAGTATCCCTATCCAGTGTTTGAGACTGACAACTCAAAGTCAAGGGATCTTTGTCATTGTCCTAATGCTAATGATAGGTTGTCCGGTCCTTTATCCACTAGCCATTATCATCTAGACCCTTTATTTCCATCCCCGCCATCCCTCCATTAAGATTTGGTCACTTTTGAAGCCGACTGATGAGATTAAGCAGATGAAGATGCTTCTTTTTTTTATTCAGATGTTAGCCGACCTGATGTTCCGCAAGAATGAGTACGACTCGGCAATGTTCCACTTTCAAAATCTGCTTCAGCTGAAACCTGGTATGTAATGGTAAAACCTGCTCCATGGCCCTGTTGCTTCTGTTGTTTATGGAGGTTTCAACATACTTGTGTGTTTGGGGGACAGAGTGCACCCAGCAGGGAAGAAGCTATACCATTCTGAATTAGAAAGTGGGGTCTCTCATTTGATGAAATTATCTTGTATTCACTTTACATTCAAGACGCATGATTTGCCAGGTCAAGTCTGATGTTTTTATTGTTTTGTTGATGATTGCATAGTTTTTTTAAAACGATAACTTAAATATCTACTGAAATATCTCCTGACCCTTCTTCAAAGATCAAATGTCCACACACCCTTAGATGAAATAGCAGGTCCCATGTCCCATCCCCTAAGATGTCATAGTAGGCCCATGTTTCCTCCATCCCTCAGCCCCTCCTACATGTGATGAAAGATCTGGTCCAATGTCCCCACCCTGAGATGAAAGATCAGGTCCAATGTCCCCACCCCTGAGATGAAAGATCTGGTCCAATGTCCTCACCCCTGAGATGAAAGATCAGGTCCAATGTCCCCACCCCTAAGATGAAAGATCAGGTCCAGTGTCCCCACCCCTGAGATGAAAGATCTGGTCCAATGTCCCCACCCCTAAGATGAAAGATCTAGTCCAGTGTCCCCACCCCTGAGATGAAAGATCTGGTCCAATGTCCCCACCCCTGAGAAGAAAGATCAGGTCCAATGTCCCCAACCCTTAGATGAAAGATCAGGTCCAGTGTCCCCACCCCTGACATGAAAGATCTGGTCCAATGTCCCCACCCCTGAGATGAAAGATCTAGTCCAGTGTCCCAACCCCTAAGATGAAAGATCAGGTCCAGTGTCCCCACCCCTGAGATGAAAGATCTGGTCCAATGTCCCCACCCCTGAGATGAAAGATCTAGTCCAGTGTCCCCACCCCTGAGATGAAAGATCTAGTCCAGTGTCCCCACCCCTGAGATGAAAGATCAGGTCCAGTGTCCCCACCCCTGAGAAGAAAGATCAGGTCCAATGTCCCCACCCCTAAGATGAAAGATCTGGTCCAATGTCCCCACCCCTGAGATGAAAGATCTGGTCCAATGTGCCCACCCCTGAGAGGAAAGATCTAGTCCAATGTCCCCACCCCTGAGATGAAAGTTCAGGTCCAATGTCCCCACCCCTGAGATGAAAGATCTGGTCTAATGTCCCCACCCCTGAGTTGAAAGATCTAGTCCAATGTCCCCACCCCTGAGATGAAAGATCTGGTCTAATGTCCCCACCCCTGAGATGAAAGATCTAGTCCAATGTCCCCACCCCTGAGATGAAAGATCTGGTCTAATGTCCCCACCCCTGAGATGAAAGATCTAGTCAGGGTCTCCACCCCTGAGAAGAAAGATCAGGTCCAATGTGACCATTATGGTCTTATGGATAACAACTTCTATATTATACACACACATTGTTTCAAGGGTACTTCTTGCCCCTTTATCAGGTGAATGAGTCATTTATTTGATGAAGGCAGCAAGAAGTAGCTCTGAAAGCTTGCGAATGTATAATAAAGAAGTTATCCATAATATTTTCCTAAAAGTTTTATGTCTTCCAGACCAAGGACTTACTGAAGCTAAATATTATGTTAATATCTGTTACCCATGAAATAAAGTGTGACATTGTTGTACTATCATCTACTATATGGGCTTGGTGATGTTGATACACTGAGGGAATTTCTTTTGTGGCGTAGATAACTACGATGCCCTTGCTCGTCTGGTGGACTTGATGCGAAGGGCAGGGAAGCTGGACGAAGTCCCCAAGTTCCTGGAGCTGGCTGAGGCTGCCTCTTCTCGTGCTGGGATGGAGGCAGGCTTCAGCTACTGCAAGGGGTTATATGAATGGTATGTGGGCCTCCTTACCTCACTGATAATGCATAGTCTGGATGGGGTTGTTGTTGGTTGTTTGTAGTTTAACGCCGCATTCAGCAATATTCCAGATATATGACGGGGATCTCCAAATACTGTAAACAGGGAATTTTTTGCGACCGTTTTATTATTGCGAGTTTTGCGAAGGATACTCAATAGCAAAAATTAAAAACGCAAAATTAAGTATAATTAATACATACATACTTCATACATACGTCGTCAAATGTTGAAATCATCAACCAGAACCACAGGTTACTCAATAATTTAAAAACACAAATGAATGCAGAATGGTCCCACAATACATAACAAATGACCGTGTAAACAGACCAATTAGTGTCACTGTTACCTCACAGTAATCCTGCCTTCTTCCAACCTCGCTTGATTGCGTCAGTGCCCTTTGCAATTTTGTCCACACATGACATGACACTGAGTTGAGTTGATAATTGGTCGCAATCCCTTCCGGTCAACTTTCCGGCCAACTCAGAAAAACTAGCTTCGGAGAGAAGCTGTCTATTGTTTGGTAATAGAGGGGTCATCTCAACACGGCAACTCGCAAAAATACCTCATTGCAGTATTGTCTTTGGCGTGGTATTCACAATATTTTAACGGCGCAGAAATAAAGCTGTTTACAGTAATCAAGTCTCGACCAAACAATCCAGTGATTGACATCATGAGTATCGATTCACGTAACTGGGATACGATGACATGCATCAACCAAGTCAGCAATCCTGAACACCCAATCCTGTTAGTCGTCTCTTATGACAAGCATAGTCACCTTACACGGCAAGCTCATAATATCCATAACTGGATTGTCTGGTCCAGATTGGATTATTTACTAGCAGCTGTCATGTTGCTGAAAGATTAGATCATGGTGTCAAACTACAGGCAAATGAATAAACAATTAGTCCTCTTTCATGTGTTGCGACTATAAAATATCTGAGTCCCCTGATGGGATTCGAAACACGGACCTTCAGATCCAAAGTTGGATGACCAAAGGAGTTAACTCTGTCAGACCAGGTAAGGATGTCATCTATAGGATGACCCTCACCCTGCTAAACATGCCTGTTTCATGTTTCATGTTTCCTTTCTCTAGGTATACTGGCAACCCTACTACGGCACTGAAACTGTTCAACAAGGCACGTAAAGATTCGGATTGGGGTAACCAGGCTATCTACAACATGATCGAGATCTGTCTCAACCCCGACAGCGACACAGTTGGAGGAGAGGTGTTTGAATCTATGGATGGAGAGTCAATGTGAGGACTTAAAATGCTCATTTTAATTAATCTGACTTGTGAAATGAAGAAGTGCAAGAGGTGAGGTGAGGTGAAATGGGGTTTAATGTTGCATCCAAGATTATTGCACTTATATAGCGACGTGTATGCACATGTGTCTGTGTGTGTGCGTGTGTGTGTCTGTGTGTGTTTGTGTGTTTGTGTGGCTGCTTGTACTAGTCCAGAGTGATGCCGATTTATAGTGCTAGCACACTGAGATACCATGCCGCAGTTTAACATGAATACCCCACTCAGACACAGTATACTGACTCCGAGCTGACCAGTCCTTGTTTTAGCCCCTTAATGCCGAGCGCCAAACAGGGTAACAACAAGTACCACCTTTTAACGTCTTTTGGTATGACGCGGCTGGGAATCGAACCCCCGACCTTCCACTCTCTAGGCGGACGCTCTACCACTAGACCACGGAGGCGGTCAATATAAGTGCAAGAGAAGTATGCTATATGGAACTGTACTATATACTATGTAACTGATAGAGATAGTCATTATTTAAGAAGTAAACAATTGGGAGTTGTTCATTGTACAATAAGAGGGCACAGGTGGCCCAGTCGTCTGAGGCGCCGCGATTCACTGTGCAGAGTTGCATTCCTTGGGCACGCCAGAAACCTGTGATTGTGGGTTCAAATCCTGGTTCGCCCCAATTATGTTTCTAGGTTTGTCAGCACAATACCCATGCTTGCGGGTTTCACTGAAGTGGTAAACGTCTGAGACTTGCATCACTTCGGGCTTTCCTCCCACATTAAGCTGACACGCCATGATATAACTGGAATACTGTTAAAAGAGGCGTTAAACCCAACTTACTCACTCACTCATTTTACAATAAAACACTGAAGGGAGAATAAACCATGAATGGTGTGGCCGCGAGTGGTAAATTCTCCTTGCAGTGTTTTATTGTATGATTACTCTCTGAATACAATCCGACCTCACGAATGTCAGACAAGTCCATTTTATTTTGTGGTATTTCCCAGACCTTCTTACAATCCTCACGTCGAGTATCTGGCCCTCTTCTCCCTATACCAATTGTCATATCTCGCCCACTTTCGGGTGCAATCGTTCAGCCACCGCATTTATCTATGTTAACTCACTAGACACTCCCCTCTCAAAAATAACGTTGTTCAATATACGACTCATCAAGTTGAAAGCCCATGTTCAAATTTCCAGAAATGATGTCATTGAAAGAACAATGTTTTATTGTGAAATGAACCACACTTCATTCCTCATTGCTCTTTGTGATTCATCGTGTAGCTATCTTATGTATTTAAAAATACACTTATCATATGAGTGAGTGAGTGAAAGTGATTTTGATTTTACGCCACTTTTAGCAATATTCCAGCAATATCACGGCGGGGGACACCAGAAATGGGCTTCACACATTGTACCTATATCATAAATCGAACCCGGGTCTTCGGCGTGACGGGTGACCGCTTTAACCACTAGGCTACACGATCGCCCCTAACATATTATGAGAATCAACTGTTCCTCATGTGAAAATCCGGACAGTTGATGGTCTTGTGATTTGCGCTGCGGCTTGTCAGGCTTCCATGGCCCATATGAGTACAGAATGAGAGTAATTCTGAGTATCTGCACCATGTTTGCTGGAATAGTTGTCTTTTCATGTGTATAAAACTGATTTAATGTTTTGATATGTCTCATTGAGAATCCATTACAGTATTGCAGTTCTAAATTGCAGTGGTTCCTCAGACCGTGAGAACAGTGAACAAATGGCAGTGAGGACGGCTGAGAAACTCCTGCGAGTAAGTGCAGAACCTTTATTTGGTGGAATTATTTTGTTGCTAATAATTGGCTGATTTCACTGGTATGCAGAGTTGCTTCCACTGGATGCCATGGTCTAGTGTTGCAGTCCACTGTGCAGAGCTGTTTCCCCTGGCTACCAGTCTTTCCTAGTGTTGCAGCTCATTATGCAGAGTTGCTTCCCATGGTTGCCATGGACTGGTGTTGCAGCTCATTATGCAGAGTTGCTTCCCCTGGATGCCATGGTCTAGTGTTGCAGCTCATTATGCAGAGTTGCTTCCCCTGGATGCCATGGTCTAGTGTTGCAGCTCATTATGCAGAGTTGCTTCCACTGGCTTCAATGGTCTCCTAGTGTTGCAGCTCATTATGCAGAGTTGCATGCCCTGGTTGCCATGATCTCATACTGGCTGCCTAGTGTTGCAGCTCGTTATGCTGGGTGCATCCCCTGGCTGCCATGGTCACCTAGTGTTGCAGCTCGTTATGCTGGGTGCTTTCCTTGGCTGCCATGGTCACCTAGTGATGCAGCTCGTTATGCTGGGTGCATCCCTAGGCTGCCATGGTCACCTAGTGGTGCAGCTTGTTATACTGGGTGCTTCCCTTGGATCGCCATGGTCACCTAGTGGTGCAGCTCGTTATGCTGGGTGCATCCCCTGGCTGCCATGGTCACGTAGTGTTGCAGCTCGTTATGCTGGGTGCATCCCTTGGCTGCCATGGTCACCTAGTGTTGCAGCTCGTTATGCTGGGTGCATCCCTTGGCTGCCATGGTCACCTAGTGGTGCAGCTCGTTATGCTGGGTGCATCCCCTGGCCGCCATGGTCACCTAGTGTTGCAGCTCGTTATACTGGGTGCATCCCCTGGCTGCCATGGTCACCTAGTGTTGCAGCTCGTTATACTGGGTGCTTCCCTTGGCTGCCATGGTCACCTAGTGGTGCAGCTCGTTATACTGGGTGCTTCCCTTGGATCGCCATGGTCACCTAGTGGTGCAGCTCGTTATGCTGGGTGCATCCCCTGGCTGCCATGGTCTCCTAGTGGTGCAGCTCGTTATACTGGGTGCATCCCCTGGCTGCCATGGTCACCTAGTGTTGCAGCTCGTTATACTGGGTGCTTCCCTTGGATCGCCATGGTCACCTAGTGGTGCAGCTCGTAATGCTGGGTGCATCCCCTGGCTGCCATGGTCACCTAGTGGTGCAGCTCGTTATACTGGGTGCATCCCCTGGCTGCCATGGTCACCTAGTGGTGCAGCTCGTTATACTGGGTGCTTCCCTTGGATCGCCATGGTCACCTAGTAGTGCAGCTCGTTATGCTGGGTGCCTCCCCTGCCTGCACTGGTCACCTAGTGGTGCAGCTCGTTATGCTGGGTGCATCCCCTGGCTGCCATGGTCATCTAGTGTTGCAGCTCGTTATGCTGGGTGCATCCCCTGGCTGCCATAGTCACCTAGTGGTGCAGCTCGTTATGCAGGGTGCATCCCCTGGCTGCCATGGTCACCTAGTGGTGCAGCTCGTTATGCTGGGTGCATCCCCTGGCTGCCATGGTCACCTAGTGGTGCAGCTCGTTATGCAGGGTGCATCCCCTGGCTGCCATGGTCACCTAGTGGTGCAGCTCGTTATGCTGGGTGCATCCCTTGGCTGCCATGGTCACCTAGTGGTGCAGCTCGTTATGCTGGGTGCATCCCCTGGCTGCCATGGTCAACTAGTGTTGCAGCTCGTTATGCTGGGTGCATCCCCTGGCTGCCATGGTCACCTAGTGGTGCAGCTCGTTATACTGGGTGCTTCCCTTGGATCGCCATGGTCACCTAGTAGTGCAGCTCGTTATGCTGGGTGCATCCCCTGCCTGCCATGGTCACCTAGTGGTGCAGCTCGTTATGCTGGGTGCATCCCCTGGCTGCCATGGTCATCTAGTGTTGCAGCTCGTTATGCTGGGTGCATCCCCTGGCTGCCATGGTCACCTAGTGGTGCAGCTCGTTATGCAGGGTGCATCCCCTGGCTGCCATGGTCACCTAGTGGTGCAGCTCGTTATGCTGGGTGCATCCCCTGGCTGCCATGGTCACCTAGTGGTGCAGCTCGTTATGCAGGGTGCATCCCCTGGCTGCCATGGTCACCTAGTGGTGCAGCTTGTTATGCTGGGTGCATCCCTTGGCTGCCATGGTCACCTAGTGGTGCAGCTCGTTATGCTGGGTGCATCCCCTGGCTGCCATGGTCAACTAGTGTTGCAGCTCGTTATGCTGGGTGCATCCCCTGGCTGCCATGGTCAACTACTTTCTGCTTCCACTTGTGATGAATGGTTAAATTCCCACACTTGCAGTTTTTATCTCTGGCCTAGGTTTCACCAAAGAGGTGCCATCCTTTGTATGGACCTCCCACATGGACACACTGTGAAAATCTTACACCCTCAGTTCAGACATGGAGATATCCTAATATTTGATTTTTTCAGGAAATAAAGCCAAAGCCAAGCGACATCCGTCCCAAATTGCAGGTAAACATGGCCCTGATTGCATCGAAACAGAAGTCCAATGTGGAGAAAGCTCTCTCAGCGTTCATGGACATTGCATCAAATGAGGTACATATGTAATTGCTAACTCTGACACAACTGTCATCACTTTGAATATTATTTAGTCTTATCTGCACAATCAGAGGTTTCAAATCGTAACAACCACCTCATATTGAAACTGCTGATTGACAGCATCATTGCAAAAACTAATAATTACTTCAGTTGACATTTTGAGAAAAATTATCTGCACATGTGTAGGTTGATGTGGTAATTACAATATTCAAGTGTGTGTGACTGTAAATTTTGGGTATAAAATATATTTGACTGAGAAAGTGTATTTCATATTTTCGGGACTCACATTCAGTTGAAAATTGAATTTAACCCTGTCAAGTATCAAGTACAATAGCTCCACTTTGTAAACACAGTATTTCTACCACCTAATTAATTAAACAACTATCATGTATATAAGGTCTAGAAACAAGACTAAAACAATTCATGTCCACAAAATCCTACTTTGAGAGATTACAAAGCTTGCATCTTTTCAGATTTGAAAATATATTTGAAATATCTCGGATGTTTTAGTAGGTGCTTGATGTTAACATTGATTTTAAGATATATTAACATATTTTTATCACATACATCTGGAATGACTTGGGGATTGGTAAATAAGCAACAATGCTTATGTCAGTACCGCTCCGGATATATATACATTGGCAGTTTCAATACATAAATCAAAAATACAAATATCATGTAACAATATAATAGAAAGGTACAATTAATTTACAGCTAAATTATTATTAAGGTTACTTCCTTAAACACTTTCACAGTTAACATACACAATGATTTAGTACACTGTATGAATGGCTAACAGAGTTCAAATCTTTGTGATTTAGTAATAAACATATAAATGGAATCAATGATGTTAGTCAGCTTTTTCAAATTTGGGTTGCTATTAAGAACTGTTTGTAAGTTATGTCCATAGTAGTAAAAATACATATCATGCCTAATATTTGCATAATTTTTACACGTGTACTGATAGCGAGTAGCATCTTCGATATGGTGACCACATGAAGAATCTGATCTATCTATTATATGTCTATTAACCTTGTCAGCGTTGCAATCACGATATCCAAGCCTGAGGCGACAATGACTTACTTGGCACGTACGAGTACCAAGATTCAGATCGAAGTGAATGTCGGAAACTATTGGGTCTGACATCAAAATCTTAAATTCATGGTAGTAAATATACATATCGTGTCTAATATTTGCATACTTTTTGCATGTGAACGGATAGTGAGTAGCATCTTCGATATGTTGACCATCTGATCTATCTGATGTCAGATGATATATAAGCTTGTCAGTGTTTAACTTCACTTCTTCCAAATCTGGTGTTAAAATTGTGTCCATAGGCTTGAAAGGAAATGTGGGGGCACGGGTGGCCCAGTCGTCTAAGGCGCCGCGTTTTGCTGTGCAGAGTTGCGTCCCTTGGGTAGCCAGAAACCTATGATTGTGGGTTCGAATCCCGGTTCGCCCCAATTATGTTTCTAGGTTTGTCAGCACCATACCCGTGCTCGTGGGTTTCACCGATGTGGTAAACGTCTGAGACCTGCATCACTTCGGGCTTTCCTCCCACATTAAGCTGACACGCCGTGATATGACTGGAATACTGTTAAAAGCGGCGTTAAACCCAACTCACTCACTCACTACTATGTAACATGTCTCAGGGGGCCAAGGAAATATATTTAGATAACACTTTTTTTCTACTTAAAGGTTCTACTTATCAGATACATGTATGAAGAAAAAAGATATTATGTAGCGAACGTTCACGGACCAAAGGCAGATATCTACATTTTTTTCACAGCGAGAGACTCGTGAAGATCCAAGCTAGAATAGGTCTTCAGCTACCCATGCTTGATGTAAAAGGCGACTATGCTTGTTGTAAGAGGCGACTAACGGGATCGGGTGGTCAGACTCACTAACTTGGTTTATGCATGTCATCCTATTCCAATTGCATGGATCAATGCTCCTGATGTCAATCTCTTGATTATCTGTGTCAGACTCGATTATTGACAGTCAGCCATTGTATAGCTGGAATATTGCTGAGTGCAGCATTAAACAACAAACAAACTGAGAAAGAATTCACTGTATTATAATGAGGGATAATGTTTGACAGAGGGATCATGTGGGAGCGTTGTATGGGATGGCAGCTGCCTACATGGTGCTGAAACAAACTCCCAGAGCCAGGAATCAGCTGAAGAGAGTGTCCAAGAACAACTGGACCATGCAGGTAAGTGTTCATGAATATGGAGCTGTAGAACATGTTTTGAAAGTCATGACATTAATGCATCACCAACTTACTGCGAATGTGTCATCAGAGCTCCAGATAAGCTGCGTATCTGCGTAAAATACGCATCAGAAATGCAGAAATATGCAGTAAAATAAAATCCAAGCGTATCAAATACGCAACAAACATTACAGATACGCTACAAAAATAAAACTTGTGCGTATCATCAAAATATTGTGAAGTAACCCTGCGTATTCGATTAGCAAATCAGTAACTTATTTTGCAATTATTAAAGGGCATTCCGTCAATGTACCTTGCCAAACTCCACATCATGATCATTTGCCATCACACCATCTTGTGGAAGTATCGTGGTATTTTTGAGTCCTATAAAGCTCTCGAACCCACACAACACCAGTTTGCAGGAACTAGATGAATAGTGTTTTTAAATATTCAACTTAAATACCCACATGTGTAAAAACTAGTGGGTAACAGAAATTTGAATACCAAGATAGAATTACTGATACCCAATGATTTTAAAATGCATGGGTAAAATACCTAGCCTTTGAACTATAAAAACTGATCAGCGAACGATATGAAATGGGTCAGATCCCTATTGAAGACCGTACAGGTTGCAAGTGTTATTACTTTAACATCATTCTTTGAACATATAGAAGCAGTGTTATGAATTCACAATGAATACTATGTACTGGACATTAGTGCTACATGAATAAGCAGTGTTTTGTTCGGGTGCGGTCGGGTAGCTTGTGGTCAAAGCATTCTCTCGTCATTCCGAAGACCCGGGTTCAATTCCAAACAAAGATACAATGTGTGAAGCCCATTTCTGGTGTCCCCCACTTTGATATTGCTGGGATATTGCTTAAAGCGGTGTAAAACTATACTCACTCACTCGGTGTTTTGCTCAGTGTGTGAAATAACTTTAAAACCCAACAAGACACAGGCAGGTGACCCATAGTAGTTGCCCGCCCATCTTCAAAGTTACCTGCCAACATTCAGGAATTATAAATATTGAATATCACAAAAAGAGTAAGAGACAAATCATGTCTTGATTCTTTTAAATTAATGCAAACAATGACTTGAGAATTTACAAAGAGTTATAATATAACTGAATATGTAAGTAGTCTTCATATTATCTGCCAGACAGTCAGACAGGTGGAGGAAAATTTCATGAAGCCTGACAGAAAAGTTACCAGCCACGGGCAGGGAGTTATTTCGGACACTGGTTTGGCTTGTGATTATAGTATAATTTGACAAGGTGACCAAGAACAAAGACACCATCATACACAGTTGGCTAGTGTCATAACAGCTTGATCACCTTGTATAGACAAACTGACCACACTTGACACAGAACTCTGTGAAAATGACTGTCTAAATCTAGCGTTCAGTTACATAGAATATTGTGAGATTTGTTATATGTCATTGTTTGCTCCCATGAGCAGTGAACCAGTCATGACAATATACTCCAATATGTCCTGGTAAACATGTCACTTTATGAAATCAAGTAAGGTGACTGTGTGTATGGTTGTAGAAGAGTGAGTGTATGGAACTGGATCGTCAGTTTTTGTTGCTGACTGTGCTGTTTTTTTTTGTGCAAGAAACTGATGCCTCAGGCAAGAGAGAGAGTTGTCTTCTGTTGGGTGATGGTGACATTTTGGAACTGTCTTTTGTTTCCAGTGTGTGATTGTGTTGTTTCAGTTTGGGATGCTGATGTCCTAGAGAAGAGCTGGTTGTTGTCAGTGTGTTGTTTGTTGTCGTCCAGGGTAGTGATGACCTAGAGAAGAGCTGGTTGTTGTCAGTGTGTTGTTTCTTGTTTTCCAGGATGCTGATGACCTAGAGAAAAGCTGGTTGTTGCTGGCAGATATTTACATTCAGTCAGGAAAATATGACATGGCCACCGATCTACTAAAGCGTTGCCTACAGTATAACAAGGTGGGTGTGGAGAACATAATCATTTGTTGTAACGTGTGAAATTATCATAACCACTGCATTGACATAGTGATTGTTTATATTGTTGCAGTCATGTTCCAAAGCCGATGAATACATGGCTTCATCATTTTCTGGTTTTAACATGTTTCTGTTCCATCGCATACATGAATAATGAAATGGGGATTGGTAAACAAGCAACAATGCTTGTATTAATACTGCTCCCGGTGATTATATATACCAGGGTTAGAAACTAACAGTTTTGTCCTTATGATGATAACATATAGCAAAACCCTTAAAAAGGGCAAATTTCTACTAGTCCTTATGATACCTTTACCATTGGGCAGTTTGGCAAGGACTATAGGACTAGTGCCAATTTCTAACACTGTATACACTGGCGGTTTTAATACATAAATCAAAGTACAAATAATATGTAACAACATAATAGAAATGGAAGTTAGCATTACTTTAAAAGTCTTGGTAAAAGATTACTTTCGCAGTTAACATACACACTGTTATAGAAACTTTACAAATGGATAACCGAGTTCAATTTATATAAGTGTTGTAATAAACATATAAATGGATTTATTGATTTTAGTGTTAGTCAAGTTCTTCAGATTTGGGTTACCATTCTGAACTGTTTGTAAATTATATCCACGGTAGTATAAATGCATATCATTTTTACAAGTGAACAGATAGTGAGTAGCATCTTCGATATGGTGACCACATAATCTCTATGATATATGTCTATTAAGCTTGACGTCATCATTTAAATCACTACATCCAAGTCTGATGCGACAATGAATAACTTGGCACATGCAAGTACCAAGATTCAAATCGAAGTGAATGTCAGAAACTATTGGGTCTGATATTAAAATCTTAAATTCATTTAGAGAACACTCATTGCTGTATTCCTCTGGTAGCGAATTCCAAATCTTGACCAATACCGGTAAAAAGGATTTAGCATAGTTATATGTTCTACAATGAATAATTTGCAAATTATTACAGTTTCTGAGACTATGATTATACCATGTATACGGGTTTCCTAATTATCTGTGTAAAATGTTTGCAGTCATGTTGCAAGGCCTACGAATACATGGGATTCATTATGGAGAAGGAACAGTCCTACAAGGACGCAGCCCACAATTATGAAAATGCCTGGAAGTATGGCAACAAGAACAACCCAGTCATTGGTAAGGAGTGAGCTTAGGTGAATTGACATTCTTGTGTTTTATACTATGCTTGTCATAAGAGGCGACTGACGGGATCAGGTGGTCAGGCTTGCTGACATGGATGTACAAGTGAGTTAATAAGGGAGTTACTAGTGGAGTTACAAGGTGTACAAGTGAGTTAATAAGGGAGTTACTAGTGGAGTTACAAGGTGTACAAGTGAGTTAATAAGGGAGTTACTAGTGGAGTTACAAGGTGTATAAGTGAGTTAATAAGGGAGTTACTAGGGGAGTTACAAGGTGTACAAGTGAGTTAATAAGGGAGGTGCTAGTGGAGTTACAAGATGTACAAGTGAGTTAATAAGGGAGTTACTAGTGGAGTTACAAGGTGTATAAGTGAGTTAATAAGGGAGTTACTAGGGGAGTTACAAGCTGTACAAGTGAGTTAATAAGGGAGTTACTAGGGGAGTTACAAGGTGTACAAGTGAGTTAATAAGGGAGGTGCTAGTGGAGTTACAAGATGTACAAGTGAGTTAATAAGGGAGTTACTAGTGGAGTTACAAGGTGTATAAGTGAGTTAATAAGGGAGTTACTAGGGGAGTTACAAGGTGTACAAGTGAGTTAATAAGGGAGTTACTAGGGGAGTTACAAGGTGTACAAGTGAGTTAATAAGGGAGGTGCTAGTGGAGTTACAAGGTGTATAAGTGAGTTAATAAGGGAGTTGCTAGTGGAGTTACAAGGTGTGCAAGTGAGTTAATAAGGGAGGTGCTAGTGGAGTTACAAGGTGTATAAGTGAGTTAATAAGGGAGTTGCTAGTGGAGTTACAAGGTGTGCAAGTGAGTTAATAAGGGAGGTGCTAGTGGAGTTACAAGGTGTACAAGTGAGTTAATAAGGGAGGTGCCAGTGGAGTTACAAGGTGTTAAAGTGAGTTAATAAGGGAGTTGCTAGTGGAGTTACAAGGTGTACAAGTGAGTTAATAAGGGAGTTGCTAGTGGAGTTACAAGGTGTACAAGTGAGTTAATAAGGGAGGTGCTAGTGGAGTTACAAGGTGTACAAGTGAGTTAATAAGGGAGTTGCTAGTGGAGTTACAAGGTGTACAAGTGAGTTAATAAGGGATCTGCTAGTGGAGTTACAAGGTGTGCAAGTGAGTTAATAAGGGAGTTGCTAGTGGAGTTACAAGGTGTACAAGTGAGTTAATAAGGGAGTTACAAGGTGTACAAGTGAGTTAATAAGGGAGTTACTAGTGGAGTTACAAGGTGTACAAGTGAGTTAATAAGGGAGGTGCTAGTGGAGTTACAAGGTGTACAAGTGAGTTAATAAGGGAGTTGCTAGTGGAGTTACAAGGTGTACAAGTGAGTTAATAAGGGATCTGCTAGTGGAGTTACAAGGTGTGCAAGTGAGTTAATAAGGGAGTTGCTAGTGGGGTTACAAGGTGTACAAGTGAGTTAATAAGGGAGTTACTAGGGGAGTTACAAGGTGTACAAGTGAGTTAATAAGGGAGTTGCTGGTGGGGTTACAAGGTGTACAAGTGAGTTAATAAGGGAGTTACTAGGGGAGTTACAAGGTGTGCAAGTGAGTTAATAAGGGAGTTGCTAGTGGGGTTACAAGGTGTACAAGTGAGTTAATAAGGGAGTTACTAGGGGAGTTACAAGGTGTACAAGTGAGTTAATAAGGGAGTTGCTAGTGGGGTTACAAGGTGTACAAGTGAGTTAATAAGGGAGTTGCTAGTGGAGTTACAAGGTGTACAAGTGAGTTAATAAGGGAGTTGCTAGTGGAGTTACAAGGTGTACAAGTGAGTTAATAAGGGAGTTGCTAGTGGAGTTACAAGGTGTATAAGTGAGTTAATAAGGGAGTTACTAGGGGAGTTACAAGGTGTATAAGTGAGTTAATAAGGGAGTTACTAGGGGAGTTACAAGGTGTACAAGTGAGTTAATAAGGGAGTTGCTAGTGGAGTTACAAGGTGTACAAGTGAGTTAATAAAGGAGTTGCTAGTGGAGTTACAAGGTGTATAAGTGAGTTAATAAGGGAGTTACTAGGGGAGTTACAAGGTGTACAAGTGAGTTAATAAGGGAGTTGCTAGTGGAGTTACAAGGTGTACAAGTGAGTTAATAAGGGAGTTACTAGGGGAGTTACAAGGTGTACAAGTGAGTTAATAAGGGAGTTGCTAGTGGAGTTACAAGGTGTACAAGTGAGTTAATAAGGGAGTTACTAGTGGAGTTACAAGTTGTACAAGTGAGTTAATAAGGGAGTTGCTAGTGGAGTTACAAGGTGTGCAAGTGAGTTAATAAGGGAGTTGCTAGAGGAGTTACAAGGTGTGCAAGTGAGTTAATAAGGGAGTTGCTAGTGGAGTTACAAGGTGTACAAGTGAGTTAATAAGGGAGTTACAAGGTGTACAAGTGAGTTAATAAGGGAGTTACTAGTGGAGTTACAAGGTGTACAAGTGAGTTAATAAGGGAGTTACTAGTGGAGTTACAAGGTGTATAAGTGAGTTAATAAGGGAGTTACTAGTGGAGTTACAAGGTGTACAAGTGAGTTAATAAGGGAGTTACTAGGGGAGTTACAAGGTGTACAAGTGAGTTAATAAGGGAGTTACTAGGGAAGTTACAAGGTGTACAAGTGAGTTAATAAGGGAGTTACTAGGGGAGTTACAAGGTGTACAAGTGAGTTAATAAGGGAGTTACTAGTGGAGTTACAAGGTGTACAAGTGAGTTAATAAGGGAGTTGCTAGTGGAGTTACAAGATGTACAAGTGAGTTAATAAGGGAGTTACTAGTGGAGTTACAAGGTGTACAAGTGAGTTAATAAGGGAGTTACTAGTGGAGTTACAAGGTGTACAAGTGAGTTAATAAGGGAGTTACTAGGGGAGTTACAAGGTGTATAAGTGAGTTAATAAGGGAGTTGCTAGTGGAGTTACAAGGTGTACAAGTGAGTTAATAAGGGAGTTGCTGGGGGAGTTGCAAGATGTATAAGTTAGTTAATAAGGGAGTTGCTAGTGGAGTTACAAGGTGTACAAGTGAGTTAATAAGGGAGTTACTAGGGGAGTTACAAGGTGTACAAGTGAGTTAATAAAGGAGGTGCTAGTGGAGTTACAAGGTGTACAAGTGAGTTAATAAGGGAGTTACTAGTGGAGTTACAAGGTGTATAAGTGAGTTAATAAGGGAGTTACTAGTGGAGTTACAAGGTGTACAAGTGAGTTAATAAGGGAGTTACTAGGGGAGTTACAAGGTGTACAAGTGAGTTAATAAGGGAGTTACTAGGGAAGTTACAAGGTGTACAAGTGAGTTAATAAGGGAGTTACTAGGGGAGTTACAAGGTGTACAAGTGAGTTAATAAGGGAGTTACTAGTGGAGTTACAAGGTGTATAAGTGAGTTAATAAGGGAGTTACTAGGGGAGTTACAAGGTGTATAAGTGAGTTAATAAGGGAGTTGCTAGGGGAGTTACAAGGTGTACAAGTGAGTTAATAAGGGAGTTACTAGGGGAGTTACAAGGTGTACAAGTGAGTTAATAAGGGAGTTGCTAGTGGAGTTACAAGGTGTACAAGTGAGTTAATAAGGGAGTTGCTAGTGGAGTTACAAGGTGTATAAGTGAGTTAATAAGGGAGTTACTAGGGGAGTTACAAGGTGTATAAGTGAGTTAATAAGGGAGTTACTAGGGGAGTTACAAGGTGTACAAGTGAGTTAATAAGGGAGTTGCTAGTGGAGTTACAAGGTGTACAAGTGAGTTAATAAAGGAGTTGCTAGTGGAGTTACAAGGTGTATAAGTGAGTTAATAAGGGAGTTACTAGGGGAGTTACAAGGTGTACAAGTGAGTTAATAAGGGAGTTGCTAGTGGAGTTACAAGGTGTACAAGTGAGTTAATAAGGGAGTTACTAGTGGAGTTACAAGGTGTACAAGTGAGTTAATAAGGGAGTTACTAGGGGAGTTACAAGGTGTATAAGTGAGTTAATAAGGGAGTTGCTAGTGGAGTTACAAGGTGTACAAGTGAGTTAATAAGGGAGTTGCTGGGGGAGTTGCAAGATGTATAAGTTAGTTAATAAGGGAGTTGCTAGTGGAGTTACAAGGTGTACAAGTGAGTTAATAAGGGAGTTACTAGGGAAGTTACAAGATGTACAAGTGAGTTAATAAGGGAGTTGCTAGGGAAGTTACAAGATGTACAAGTAAATTATATAAGGGAGTTGCTGGGGGAGTTACAAGATGTATAAGTGAGTTAATAAAGGAGTTGCTTGGGTATTTACAAGGTGTATAAGTGAGTTAATAAGAGAGTTGCTAGGGGAGTTACAAGATGTACAAGTGAGTTAATAAGGGAGTTGCTAGGGAAGTTACAAGATGTACAAGTAAATTATATAAGGGAGTTGCTGGGGGAGTTACAAGATGTATAAGTGAGTTAATAAAGGAGTTGCTTGGGTATTTACAAGGTGTATAAGTGAGTTAATAAGAGAGTTGCTAGGGGAGTTACAAGATGTACAAGCGAGTTAATAAGGGAGTTGCTTGGGTATTTACAAGGTGTATAAGTGAGTTAATAAGGGAGTTGCTGGGGAAGTTACAAGGTGTATAAGTGAGTTAATTAGGGAGATGCTTGGGTAGTTACAAGGTGTATAAGTGAGTTAATAAGGGAGATGCTTGGGTAGTTACAAGGTGTATAAGTGAGTTAATTAGGGAGATACTAGGGGAGTTACAAGGTGTATAATTGAATTAATAAGGGAGTTGCTTGGGGGAGTTACAAGCTGTACAAGTGAGTTAATAAGGGAGTTGCTGGGGGAGTTACACATTTTGTTTTTCATTACCATTTTCAAAAAGAAAAAAATCTTTAAATATTTCAGGGGAATTTCTGTGAGAGCTACATGTTGAAGGAAGTTGCCAAGGGAATTTCCAGAGTAGTTGCTAGGGGAATTACTAGGAGAAATGCAACATGTGTAAGGGGTTTGGTAAGGGAATTTCCACAGAAGTTACTAAGGTAGTCGTTAAAGGAATTATTTGGTGAACTACAAGAGGAGTTTACTCAGGGAGTTGCTAAAGTGGATGCAAGGGAGATCAGAGCAGATCAGATAACATCTCATGAGGTGTTCTAAATAACTTCTGTGTGACATCTTCAAAAGGCTGAACAATAAGATATAGTTCGGTCAGGTTGAGGACCTGTGTCTGATCAAGATTAATTTATTTCATGACATCAATGTCAGCTGTGGATACTCCAGATCCTCATGGATGTCCTGCCATCAGATAATGAACTGTAGCAATATTCCCATCCTAATATGTCCATAGATGCGGAATGTCGTAGTGTGACCACGGTGAATGGTGGTTGTGTGAAACTGTACATGTTTGTTTACAGGCTACAAGCTTGCATTCAACTACATGAAGGCCAAGAGATTTGTGGACGCCATTGACATCTGTCATCACGTAAGAACAAGTTACTTTTGTTTCTCTGGGAAGTAATGGTTTAGAAGACATGGCTGTAGCATGCTGTATAACAGACTCAACAGAGAGGAATCTAAGATCAAAACATCTCTCTACACCTCCTTGACTAGAATTATATTATTGACTGGTGAATAGTGTTTTACTGAAACTATGTTTTGTCTTTGTTTGTTCTATAACACCACACTCAGCAATATTCCAGCTGTATGACAGGGGGCTGTAAGTAATGGTGTTTAGACCAAACAATCCAGTGATTCATATTTGGACCCTTGATCCACACATTCAGGATACGTTGACACTGTCTGAGCACTGGATCTATTGAACTGCCTCAGTTGACCAGCATAGGTTGCTAGGTGCCTTTTCTAAGCTGGAATCTCCATGGGGCCATCTACTTTGTAGTGGTATCCTTAGTTGCAATATATTTGTCTTATTGAGGCAAAATACATAGCTTGGAACCCGTATAATTGAGTTCTAGTTTTTGACATTTTCCTTCTGTTTTGAGGGTAATGAATAAATTCTAGATAGTGGAGGCTGGACCCTGTCAATTCAGAACCCTGCTTTCCTGGCAGTTACTGTTAGGATAACAATGATTTGTTATACTGGAGTCTTGTCAACCCAAAGGATTACACTTAAAACACTCTGAAATCCAGATAAGGTGCATATGTGTGTGAAGTACGCAAATTATGTCACTATTACCCAATTATGTTTAAGTTGCTTGTGGAAAAATACACTTGAAAACTTTAAAACAAACTGCACTCAAACAGATACAAAGTAGAAGTCCCCTGAAACAACAATAATCAGAATTAATTACAAAATGTCTACTCATTGGTGTCAAAATACCCAATAGACTGGATCCAAGGAAGCAAAAATATATTGAATACCCAGTGCCGGCCAGATGACCAGGATGTAACTGTACATGATTTGAATGTGTTAAGAATGTTGTCAATTATATTTACTTGGGACTGTCTTTTTGAATCTTATTATAACGTAAGGTTGGAATGATGTCACTCTAGAAACAACATCATAGCTAAAGATTGTTGACGTAATTTGATATTTGTTCTGTATGCATGGTATGTAAACATCTTCTTCAGTAATAAATAGAACATTATATTTGTGTTCATGTCATACTATGTTTATGACACTCGAGCCTAAATTCTAGTATTTCCCGAGCGAGAGCCTTGACATCCTCTATATCAAACACCCAACACAAGATCGTACTTATTGTTACCCTGTCTGGCGCTTTAAGGGGCTAAAACAAGGACTGGTCGGGTTGGAGTCAGTATACTGTGTCTGAGTGAGGTATTCACACACACAGATGCAGACACAAACACACGCAGATGCAGACACACAGATGCAGACACACACACACGCAGATGCAGACACACAGATGCAGACACACACACGCAGATGCAGACACACAGATGCAGACACACGCATGCACACGCGCACACACATGCACGCACACGCGCACACACATGCACGCACACTCACACATGCACACGCACGCACACACGCACACGCACATGCACATGCACACGCACACGCACACGCACACGCACACACATGCACGTCGCTATATAAGACATTAAACCCCATTTCACCTCACTAGTCCCAAATCTTGTTCCTCTTTGATACAATATTTAGCTAAAAACTGTCTGACATTATAGGCAATGTTTGTTTGTTTTTTTACAGGTTCTTTCAAGCCATCCAAACTACCCTAAAATAAGGAAGGACATTCTTGAAAAGGCCAGAACAAGTCTACGTGTTTGAGAAACATTTGGAACGCTATGCTTCTTCACAAGCTTATCGCATACGATTTGAGCAACCATCCGTAGTTCAGACAGAGGACATGTACAACTCAATATTTGCAATGAAAGGACCACACCTTCAACTGAAGATAACTATATTGGTCCTTAGCAAATATTGAGTAGTATATCTCACCTGGTCGTGTGTAGATCAGGCAGTCTGGAGACTTGGGAACACTATGTTGCTGTGATACTGAAGAGATTCAGACATGAGATCAAACGGTTAAAGGAAAAATTCCCTTTTCTGAACAAATAATGAGAAATAGTTTTATGATGATACTGATACCATTCCAGTGAACTGGGTTACATGGCCATTGTACCCCGTGTTCACAGAGTTGTAACACTAAATCACAGATTGCTCTTGTCCCTTTTCATTGTGTCATGCCAGTGTGGTATTCAAATAAGCTTTTGTTCAAGAGAAAGTAAAGCTATGTAACTGTCATAGATAAAACAACTTCTGTTTTGTTAGTCGATACCAGGTGTTTGTGAAAAAGTGAGCATATCCTGCCCCACCGGTGTCACCCATCACAAACACATGCATAGGCATGTCAATTGTTCATCTAAAAAAATATGAGAACATACGGTACAAGTCAAACTAGGAATGGCATTGAACATCATTTTTTGTCACTGATGCGTCATATTTGTAAATGTCCCCCACATGTCAACCATGAAATCTTTTGAAAGTTTTACTGAGGCTTTGAAACTTCTGAGCAAGAGTCGTATGATGCTCTTTAAAATCTTAGTAGGATGAACACAAAGACATGAAAACAAATATCTTTATTGTAACGTTTAGGGAAATGTATCGATCATTTCACTTCCTGCTGCTTCATCAGGAATGAAGGAGCAAGAATAAGCTCTGAAACGTCGTGACAAATAATAAAAGAAGTTGCTATCCATAAAAAGTGTCATGTATTCAGGACAGAGTCCAGAGCTCCAGATAAGCTGCGTATCTGTGTAAAATACGCATCAGAAATGCAGAAATATGCAGTAAAATTAAATCCAAGCATATCAAATACGCAACAAACATTACAGATACGCTACAAAAATAAAACTTGTGCGTATCATCAAAATATTGTGAAGTAACCTTGCGTATTCGATTCGCAAATCAGCAACTTATTTTGAAATTATAAACGGGCATTCCGGCAACCTACCTTGCCAAACTCCACGATGACAGTTACATCATGATCATTTGCCATCACACTTTCTTGTTGAAGTATCATGGTATTTTTGAGTCCTATAAAGCTCTCGAACCCACACGACACCAGTTTGCAGGGACTAGATGAATAATGTTTTTTAATATTTAACTTAAATACCCACATGTGTAAAAACTAGTGGGTAACAGAAATTGAATACCCAGATAGAATTACTGATACCCAACGATTTTAAAATGCATGGGTAAAATACACACAACACCAAAAGCTTATCTGGAGCTCTGCGGACAGGGTTAGCTGGTTGTTGGTTGGGATCCCGGATTTACACCAGAAACACCCGTGTTCTTAGGCATATGTAAAACTAACATGCTATAACATTGCTGACAGACTGTTGAAAGTCATCACTGACCCAAAACATGAACTCCCTGTAGGGGTGTTCTTGACTACTCGGATTTAGGGACCATTTTATATTGTGAGGAGGCCCTGTTTGTCTGTCACAACAAAGTACTTGTCCCACAGGTTTTAATTTTTTTAGGGGGCTCATAGTTTAAATTTTGAAAAAAATTGGATTTTGCAGCTGTAAATATCCAATAGCCATGCAAAAAGTCTCTTTCCCCTCCCCTCGTTCATCAAATGGCCGGTGCCTTAGTCTAATGCATTGGCTTATATTCATTCTCCCAGCATCTGATAACTGTGATGTTTTTGTTATTTATGAACAGTTATTGTTATATAATGTCCGTCCATTTTGTGAAAAGGAAACTTTGTACATGTATAATAAAAAAAATCATTGTATTAAAGTATTTTGTTGTGGTTTAACATTTATTTCTAGATTTTTGGTATGAGTTTCATGGATCGATATGGATTCCCCATGAAAAGTGCCCCCTCGGTGGTCTAGTGGAAAAAAAAAAATTCCGGGAGACTGGAAGGTCGTCGGATCGATCCCTGTTCACATCATACCAAGACGTTAAAAGATGAAACTTGCTGTTACCTTGGATCATTCTCAGATAAAACAAGGAATAGACATCACCTCCCAAATGAAGCTATGGTTTTGAATGGTTCCAGATATATATCATTATATAAGACAGCAACGCGATAAATCGTGATGAAGAACAAAGTGTGGTTTATTTCACGATAAAACATTGTTCTATCCTGACGTCATTTCTGGAGATTCGAACATGCGCTCGCAACTTGATAACGTCGTATATTGGACGGCGTTATCTTGGGGAGGGGAGTGCCTAGTGAGTGGTTCCAACAACGCAGATAAACGCGATGGCCCAACGATCACATCCAAAAGTGCGACAGATACAATCGGTATTGGGAGAAAGGTACAGGTAATCCACGTGTGGACTGAGAATTTGCAGGAAATATCCTGTGCATAAAATGGACTTCTCGAAGTCGGATTCAATTGAGGGAGCCATTATTTTAAAGACGTGTAAATATGTTTAATGCTTGTAAATTTTATCATCATCCTTAAAGAGACTGTAAGTAATGTTATTTCATACAAGAAATAAACAAATTGTAGTCGTCATTTGTCATACAATAAAATGCTGCAGGGAGAATAAACCATGAGGGTCTGCCATAAACAACTCCCACTTGTCGTTTAATTATAAAATAGAATGTAGATAAAATCCACTGGATAAAAGAAGATGGTATAGCAGGCTCAGAGGATAATTTGGGGCAAGACAAATATTGCTGCTTCAAAGAAACAATTATATATTCTTCCATTTTACCAGACAATGGTCTACAGTTTTATGCTGATTTCTTTTGCATAATTATGAACTGGTGGATTAGTTACAGTTTCTGTATACATTGTTATTTGTTAACTTATATTCCTGATCAGACTTCGGTAATACTTCAGAGAACAGAATTTCATGGAGTTTGCCCCTGCAAAGTGGTAGTATCAAACATGACACTTTTTTTTAAATAAAAAGATAGGTAGTTGTTTGGAGAATGGCCTCTTGTCATCTCTTGTGGGGAGTGTCTTGTCACTCTCAATTTTTATGCATAGATCTATACAGATGCATAATAAAATATTTTGTTATCTTAATCGTTTTTTATTTTCCTTACATGTACATATATATGCTCTCTGCCTCATGGCATTCATTCACCTGATGAAGGAGTAAGCATATACTCCGAAAACGGTGTGTTCCTCATAATAAAGAAATTGACATCCATATCTTCTCTTCCTTATTCGCTTTCTCCTCTGCTAATCGAGATCTTGTCATTCTGTGACGATGTTGTGGTGGTCAACCATTTGATCATGGTCAGTTTGCCCTGTCAATCACTCTAGGGCCCGTTTCACAAAGTGATCGTAGCACTAAGACGGTCGTAAGTCTATGTTAAAGTATAGTAGTTACGGTAGTCGTAGCGCTACGATCGCTTTATGAAACGGACCCCTGGTAGCCGATGGTTCACCTTCACCAGATCGTGACTGATGCCTCGACTTTCTTGTTTCATATTCGTCACCACTCGCCACTCGCCCCTCGCCCGTAACAAGTAAGAAGACCCTAGGTGTTGTCGGGTGTGTCGGGTAGCCTAGTGGTTTAAGTGTTCACTCGTCACGTCGAAGAACCGGGTTCTATTTCCCACATAGGGACAATGTGTGAAGCCCATTCCTGGTGTCCCCCGCCGTGATATTGCTGGAATATTGCTAAAAGATGTGTAAAACAGTACTCACTCACTATTAGAACTTCACAAGGGGTGTCTCATGTTGGTAAGTTAGGCAAATGGACTGACATCTTGTACTCTAAATCTGTTAAATGACTCTCCACGAATTCTTCAGTTTAAGACCTTGTTGTTAATGATTCTATGAAAACCTTATCCATAATGTTGATTTCACAGGCTTTGCATGATTTTGTGATCAAGTCAAGTTCAATCATGTCAAAACATTTGATTTTTAAACTTTGCACACCACTTTCCCAATCGACGCACTTAAAGGAAAGCTTCATTCCTTGATCCACGTGGCACAGATATAGGTACATCTCCATCCTCAATGGTTCAGGACAATTTGTAAAAATTGAAAGCAAATGTCAACTGATGTCTGTGAAAACAATATATGAAATGCCGGACTTGATATCATTTATGTGAAATTTGGGGTAAGACATTTAGGAAAGAAGAAGGCATCCCCATGGGCACCAATTGTACACCGCCCAATGTTAATCTGTTTCTGTAAGCATATGAACCGGAATTCCGTGTGTGTCCATCTGTTTTCATGTGTTTCTGTGTGTGTCCCTTTCCGTGTGTCCGTGTGTGCCCATGTGTTTCCGTGTATGTCCATCTGTTTCCGTGTGTGTCCATCTGTTTTCATGTGTTTCTGTGTGTGTCTTGGGTTTCTGTGTGTGTGTCCCTTTTCGTGTGTCCGTGTGTGTCCATGTGTTTCCGTGTGTGTCCATCTGTTTTCATGTGTTTCTGTGTGTGTCCCTTTCCGTGTGTCCGTGTGTGTCCATATGTTTCCGTGTGTGTCCATCTGTTTTCATGTGTTTCTGTGTGTGTCTTGGGTTTCTGTGTGTGTGTCCCTTTTCGTGTGTCCGTGTGTGTCCATCTGTTTCCGTGTGTGTCCATCTGTTTTCATGTGTTTCTGTGTGTGTCCCTTTCCGTGTGTCCGTGTGTGTCCATCTGTTTCCGTGTGTGTCCATCTGTTTTCATGTGTTTCTGTTTGTGTCCCTTTCCGTGTGTCCATCTGTGTCCGTGTGTCCATCTGTTTTCATGTGTTTCTGTGTGGGTCCCTTTCCGTGTTTCCGTGTGTGTCCATCTGTTTCCGTGTGTGTCCATCTGTTTTCATGTGTTTCTGTGTGTGTCTTGGGTTTCTGTGTGTGTCCCTTTTCGTGTGTCCGTGTGTGTCCATCTGTTTCCGTGTGTGTCCATCTGTTTTCATGTGTTTCTGTGTGTGTCCCTTTTCGTGTGTCTGTGTGTGTCCATCTGTTTCCGTGTGTGTCCATCTGTTTTCATGTGTTTCTGTGTGTGTCTTGGGTTTCTGTGTGTGTCTCTTTTCGTGTGTCCGTGTGTGTCCATCTGTTTCCGTGTGTGTCCATCTGTTTTCATGTGTTTCTGTGTGTGTCCCTTTCCGTGTGTCCGTGTGTGTCCATCTGTTTTCATGTGTTTCTGTGTGGGTCCCTTTCCGTGTGTCCGTGTGTGTCCATCTGTTTTCATGTGTTTCTGTTTGTGTCCCTTTCCGTGTGTCCGTGTGTGCCCATGTGTTTCCATGTGTGTCCATCTGTTTTCATGTGTTTCCGTGTGTGTCCATCTGTTTTCATGTGTTTCTGTGTGTGTCTTGGGTTTCTGTGTGTGTCTCTTTTCGTGTGTCCGTGTGTGTCCATCTGTTTCCGTGTGTCCATCTGTTTTCATGTGTTTCTGTATGTGTCCCTTTCCGTGTGTCCGTGTGTGCCCATGTGTTTCCGTGTATGTCCATCTGTTTCCGTGTGTGTCCATCTGTTTTCATGTGTTTCTGTGTGTGTCTTGGGTTTCTGTGTGTGTCCCTTTTCGTGTGTCCGTGTGTGTCAATCTGTTTCCGTGTGTGTCCATCTGTTTTCATGTGTTTCTGTGTGTGTCCCTTTCCGTGTGTCCGTGTGTGTCCATCTGTTTCCATGTGTGTCCATCTGTTTTC